TAAATTATTCTTAATCTTCCTTTATTAATCTTTAATCCTTGCTTTCTTTCTACTTAATATTTCTCAGCCTTATCACAGCGCTATGCACTGTGCAACTAAGAATATAAAAAGTAGGTATAGCATTTAGGATTGTCGACTGTTCAACACGCTGCCAAAACACCAACTCTCAATTTCTCACATTCACCTGCCTTATATATTGGCTCGGGACTGCTTGCGCCCTCTAGTGTCTTCCATATCTTGTAAACGCTTGAATATGTTACTATCATTGAATCAAATACTGCTTACCTTTTTAATATGCGTTTCTTTTGTACATAATTACATGACTCGGGAACCATCGCCAAAATAAAGATAATCTTACCTTTTTATACATTTATAACATAACCGACAACTTCTAAGAACTCCAGATTGAAAAGCAAAAGGTAATTAAATCAAGCAACATCATCAAACATATTTGATATCAACTTACAGGTACAATTTACAAGAATTTCCTTCTAGATCAATTTGTTTGGTTGAACACAAATGGTGCGTACTTAATAAGGGGAAGTAACTTTTCGATTTTCGCTACACTAGGTCACAGGAGCTAGATAGATAGAAAAATCTTGTTAACACTCCAGTGCCTACTGTTTTGATCCAATTATCCTGGAAATTGGTCCGAAAGTTTGTTTTGATAATTTCTTGGTCAAGTTCGATTATGTGTCACCTGGGGTCAAAATTAGGTCACATCGCCCAGATATGGAAAAATCTTGTTAACACTCTAGTGCTAGTGGTCACATTGATCATTCCGGATGAAAAAAATAGGTCACAGAAGCTAAAAATAGAAAAATCTCGTTAACACTCTAGTGGCTACTGTTTTGGACCAAATATCCTGGAAATCGGTCTGAAAGTTTGTTTTGTTGATATTTAGGTCAAGTTCGAATATGGATCACCTGGTTAACACTCTAGTGGTCACATTTTTGACTCAATTGTCATCAAACTTGGTCAGGATGCTTGTTTAAGTAATTGTTCGGATGAATTCGATGGGCCAGTTTAGCAATCTACAGCCATCTTGGCCCTCTTATTTAAAATTTAATATCGTTTAAATAAGTTTTCATTTCTTCTACACCTTTGAAATTAAAATTTAAATCATTTACAATAATGAAAATAAATTTCTCAAACACTTTGTATACCATGTCGTACATTTCATGAAGAACCGACGCACATGCACAAATAGCAATATATATTTATTGAAGGTTAACTTTTATGTGCATTAAAAATAATGCGTTATGTTCTTTATGGCATATTTCTTGATCCAAATGCCATTACTTCAAAAAAAAATATTTAAAGATACACCACAATGATGACTTTATACTTTGATTTCTTAATTTAGTAAGCGTAGCCGTTTATTACGTTTGCCTTTTTTCCCCGCGCTTCCTAAGTTGCAGGGGTTTCCTATGAACTTGTCGATATTATCATTCAGGCTATATTCTCCTGTATATAATATATCTGTTGAAAAACATCAAAGAACATTTAAGTTCAGTGATTCATTTCTGATTTTTTTTTCAAAAGATATATATATATAAATAATGTATTCCGCACATAAAGGTATCTTATTTTTTATACTGAATTACAATTATTTGATTAAAAATAAACAGGCCGTTTACGGTGCATAGTGTATTGATGTATTTTATCAGTCTATTTACTTTGATTCACTCTTTCGGTATAGAACAGAACAGAACAATTATTTTAGTTTACTTTAAATTAAGCATATACAGCTCATCTTCATATACAACAATATATACATGCATGGATATAACAAAATGTTAATGCATATAAATAAATAAATTGTCAATAAATACAGACTGGTAGCTAATGTGCATTGAACTCAAAAATATAATTGTTATTATCCTTTACATCAAATAAATTATTAGCATGGAGCTAAATATAAGATATCGATAGCGTGAAAATCGGAGACTAACGGGAAAGCCCGATTATCACCGAAGCGCGAAAAGGATTGTGGGTCTGAATCGGAATATCGTCTATGTTCGGAGTTTCCTATCCGTTGTTTGTTTATATATCTGTGTTATTACTTAAAAAAAGATTCTTGATAGGTTATATGGCTCTATATAAACGGTTGTTTTCATATATAACCCGAGACGCTAGAATCTTTATAACGAACTCATAATATAGCAAATTTAGAGGAAATAAATGAGATTTCTTAAAACTATATAAACATCAAGATTAGCCAATCAAAAGTGACGTTAAAAACTTTGTATAATGAACATGAAATATCTCACATCTGTATATTGTGTTTGACTCTTAATTCATTTTATGAAGAATTAAAGAATATGATAATAGATTTTACAAAATACACAAATATTAGCTTAAAAATAATGAAAAAGCAAACATATACTTGTTTAAGTAAATATAAAACACATCGTTTATGAAACAATATTTAGGTTTCTATCAGAAAGCTGCGCGAAAAAAAGAATTGAACTAAGATAGTGACCTTGTAATAAAATCACTAAACAACAACAACAACAACAACAAAAACATGAAAAAAATCCATCTACAGGTTCATAAAAAGTCCTGTTAGAAGATATAAACATTCTCTGTAAATGAACGTGCTCGATTAAGAATGCCGTAGTTAGCCGGTTCTTTTAAGTCCAAGACCCAGATTCACATATGATACTACACCTCTCCTTTGATTCTGTGATTTACCTGTTTTAAATAAATGAGAAAAATACATTACCTGTTTAAAATGAATAAGAATGATACATTTCCTCTGTTATTAATTAAGAAAAAGAGGATTTTCTCTGCGTTATCACCTGCTTATGATATTATAAAAAAATTATACTAACAAGGATAAATCCGTTCAATTGTACTGCAATCATTATTAAACGAATAACTGTATAAAACGGAAACGAACAACTATAATATAATTCTTCAATGATAAGGAGCAAATACCACATTTAGATGGCATTGTCCATATTAAAGCCTCACTGAGCCTAATACAGCATTTATTTTATCATCCGATATCCTTTTTTTTTATATTTACAGTGTTTTATAGTTAATAAAGGACAAATGATAGAAGTAAAATTGAATAGAAAGTACCAATAAAACCGCTTCATTATAAGTACCAGCAAGTTCACGTGCGCAAGAGAATTAATTCATTCTACATAAATGCTTACTAATTTGTACGGAACGGTTAAAAGCAATTTGTACATTTTACCATTCTTGAAATTTTTCGCCTTTAATTTACAGAAAGTCATATCTATCCCATGATTACTATACAAACACGACTTCTTTGTCATTGATACTTTCCTTTAGTAAAATATTGGCTTTTGTTTTAAATACTACGAAGAATCGAGAATCAAAATGCATCGAACATATAAACTGATCGCATAGGTTTGATTGAAAAAAGTTGAAATATGATACTTTATCACACACCCGTGCCGATTTTGCGACTCCGTAAATATGGTATTGCACGGCCGTGCATATATTTTGACGCGACGTCATTAACGTTATACAAACCCAGTGTAAAGACGCGCTAAATGTTAGCGTTAAACTATAAACGCGTCAATGCAAATTACTCTTATTTTACTTTAAACGATCTTTATTTTGGGTATGTGATAAATAGAATATTAAATTCGTGTAAGTTCATTACTGAATTTATTGCACTCGTTTAATAAAATAATATTATGCTCGCCAGAGGCTCGCATGATATAATTTTATTCAACGAGTGCAATAAATTCAGTATTGAACCTACACTCATTCAATATCCTCTATGTTTTAAAACATCTGACAAAAACAGCGTAATCCGACAATACCTTCAAGTGCTTTCAGACCAGTATATTCACTGTTGTCGAAGGAATTTTTGACCTCGCTTGAATCCATTTGCAATGTTATGTACTCGTCGCCTTGGTTTCTTGAACATAATATAATATACAGGATTTGATCAAACATAAACATTTCGCTGAAGCTTAGTTTGAATTACAATGTAGATTATTATAAATATGGACAAAATGAAACGCAGAGAAACACGGGTAAAGCTCGTTTACCATACAAGTAGAGCGCTTACAGCTGATGAAAACTCTGTATTGCTTATTTTCTTGGTATCAGTGTGAATTTCTCTTTATAATTTTAATTTTTGATAATTGGTATTTAATACAACTATTGTGCCTTATAAACTGCAATACTTGTACACTCTGTTCGAAGCAATTAATATTTCAAAATACAAATGTATTACTTAAAAGAAATTTATATTACAACAAAAAACGTCAGTTAAATATTTTTAAATGTATGGAAATGTGTATGTAAAGAGGAACTACATACAGTGTATTATGGATTTTATTTTATCGGAGTAGTATGCGAACTTTTGAAATTAACCTCATATATAGCTCTAGCATTTTTTCTGGCTTTTTGGGCGATTTTCTTAAATTTCTTTTAACCACTTTTATAATTTAAAGTAATATTTAAGGAAGTTCAAAACGTTTAACTAGTATTAAGTGATTAAGTTTATTCTATTTTTCCCTTACGCGTGCAAAATCTTATATGATTTTATAGTTACCTCCTTTTCATTTTAACAATTTCTTTTTCGGTTTTTGTTGTTTCACTTTCCTTATCTTTCACTACTGAAATTGATTAAAACATTTCCTCATAATAAATTATGCAATATCAATCAACAGTTTCGTGATATTTTACATTAATAATTTGACTTAGATAACATGAATGCATGAGCAGATTTAATGGGAAAATGACTAATGTCTATAAATGTTTTCACTTGAGAATTGTCCACACGTCAATTTTAGTAATTTTTCTTATTCTATTTGAAAACTTCAGGGGGCCATCTTATCAATGAGAGTACGATTCTGGAAATCTTATCATACGATTTTGATCTACAATTTTCGTACCCTCGATTGCAAGACCGTCTTATTAACGCGATCTTACGTTCAATTGTATATTGTCTTATAAAAGACAATGGTCACGTGTTTTGTCGTAAGGATCGGACAAGTTTTGAATCAGTATAGCGGAAAGAGAATAACTAAGCCTGGTATTGGTCTACAGCAGATACATGAGCCATGAGTACTTTGCCATCAAAGTTTCAAAGTTTATTGGCAAATCAGTACAAAAAAACTTTTGCCACACACATATACACGTACACGCAAGCACACACATACGTACGTACGTTCACACAATGATCAATACAATATCATTACATTTTAACAATACATTAAATATATTTCAATATAATACCACAAATAACTGAGTCATGAAAGAAGTGCACAAAACTCATATTTATGATAAGTGTGATGTTATATCTATATTCTTTAGGGGTAATTTGCACTAACTTCTGCAGCACTGAGATCTTGTTTTCTGTCCTAATTTATTTATTTCGCCTCTAATTCTCCAGTTCAAATCATCACCTCAAGCAAACTGGCAACAGACAAGAGAACTAGAAAAGTTAATTTGCCCATCGAAAAATAGAAAACAGATTGTGTTATTAAATAAGCACAAATGTGGCCATTCAAACAAGAGTTGAGACGATAATATCTAAGTCAGAAATTCCGGATGTTTATGTATATAACAATCTTTACAGACAATGATCAAAGTAAATTCTTTATACAGTACTAGTATTTTACGAAATATTGCAATAAAATTTGAAATTGGATTATTAAAAAAAATGTAATTCATCAACGAAGCCCTAAATCAACAAATACATGATATCATTTGTCTTTATTTTCACTAAATCTTATACGTGAATCATCGAGTAAAGTTCCTTATATTTGTCATACAGTGAGTCAATCTCGATCCGAGTAAGTTTGTGGTATTCTTTAACGAAATCTTTACGCGAGACTTTGTAATGAAAATTAAAACATGTAAAAGATTTTCCAACTCATTGCGGTTAAATCATATTTTCTTAACACCTTGAATATATAATTTCCAAACGTACCAGGAAGATAATATAGGAAGATAATATCAACCGACGATATACCAGTATTTGATAAAGCTGTATTTAATCAGTTATTTATTATTTCAGAAGAGACATGTAAATACCGTGTAATTTATTTGGGTAGCCCCGTATATTATCTCAGTATTGTAACATATTTCTGGTCGGTGTCGATGATTTAATTTTGCTATAACTGTTGCAAAGGCGTGAGAGCTATTGCAATTAAAATGAGCCGCGTCACGACAAAACCAACATAATGGGTTTGCGATCAGCATGGATCCAGACCAGCCTGCGCGGATCTTCTGTAAGATCTGACCACATATTCTTGTTATGCAAATACAATTTTGGTAACTAGAGAAATCTTTTGATTTACACATTACGTAATGATGAAGATTAATATTTGTTAACACTTTTTAAAAATAAAATAAAACTACTTTGATAAAAATATTAATAAAAATGTAATAAAAATATTAATATAAAAAATACTAAAGAAATAAAATTTGGAGCCAAAGTATCAATCTGGAAACGTATATCTTTTTTGAATTCTTTGGAATAGAAATAGAATTTAATTTTGTATTTGTTGTAATATCTTTTTTTAATCAAAACGTAGAACTGAAATATAGGGTATTATACCTTCAGCTGCACAGCGCCGTTTGCAAAGAATGACAATGAAAATAATAAGAAGTATCAGGAACATCATCCAGCCGCTTCCAAGTATAGCAACATTTATATAGAGACGATTCTGCCCAAACAAATCTGAAACATGCAATACATTTATACATTATGTATACATATAATAAACTAAAACAATACTAGTACATCTCTGAATAACACAAAACCAATAATAACAATCACACTAAAGTTCAGGAATACATAAGTTATTTCTTGCATGCAAATCTGATTGCCACCGTATTTTTTTTGCCTTCATTGGTGATTCGGATGTCCAGAGAAAGCTATTTTAAGCCATACAACCAAACCGTCCTTTACAGATAAGCATTAGACATAGTATCAAAATATCTCTGTCCGTGGAGGAATTGTTGACTTTGTTAGAAAAAAATGTTGTAATTTGAAACAAATAAACTGGAAATAATAGACTCAATTTTTAATGGGCAAGATTGTTTTGCCAGTTTACCTGCTGGCTATATGAACAACGTCATGCTTGTTCTCGACCTCGTGAAAATTACCTACTTATTATTGGGTTTCTTGCGGCCGCATGCCTTCTAAATTGTGAAAGCTTGTCGATGATTGGCTGTTTGAAAGGCACGAGAAGGTGATCTCCAATCGGTGCCTATCAGATACTAATGCGTAGCGTTTATTGGGAGCTATTTTTATTCAGATTGCCAAAATTCAAGTCAGGAAATTGTGTTTTGGATTAATAAAAAAAATAAAATTAGGCCTTAATAGTTATATTATAAATACAGTGTTGAAGTTTTTCAAACCTTCATTTTCAGATTGGTTTAATGCTTTTGCTTCAGTGATCGTGTGTTCGCAATCACCAGAATCTTGTTCACATGTACCATTTTCATACACGTCATTACACTGTAAACTACACGTGTTGCCATACCATCCACGTGAACAGCCACTGCAAAATCCATTATTTCTGTTACACGTTTCATGTAAACAATTTTTGTTACATGACAGCTGACATAGGGCACCATAACTACCAGCAACACAGCCTTGATCACATGACCCATTTCTCCAACATGTTCTATTCAGGCAGTTTTCATTACAGATCATATTGCATTGAGGACCATAAACGTCTTGTGTCCTGCAGCCTTGGATACACGCCCCAGACTCCTGTTCACATTTATCTGTCGCACAACCAGGTGAACATTTATATTGACAGCTGCTTCCCCAGATCCCATCACCGTAGCATCCATACAAGCATTGACCATTTGAACTGTCACACCTTTGATCACTTGTTTGATTGATAGATGGTTTACATTGTTTCGCACAGAGATATTGGCATCGGTCTCCCCAGTATCCTTTGTCACATCCGTTTACGCATGCGCAAGACTGGTTACAACGTTGGTACAAACAACCTGCATTACAACTACTTTAACATGTTGGATTCCTACATTTTGTGTATTGTATACTTACATTCTTCTGTTCATTAACACTTTTCCCTTAAATTATATATCATAACATAAAATACTTTAGTGTGTTCTTTAAGGTTTCTATTTTATTTATGTTTTATATTAGAAAATTTTATTATATATATTTTGTTTTGATTTTTTATTGTCATTATATTTCAAGAATCATATCTTTGTATAGGTCCTATTTTTAATTACTGGAAACTATCAACTTGAATGAAGAATAATTCAAACTTATTTCTGATATTGAAATTTGGATACTGTTAACAAATTTAAATTGCAATATTATCTTCAATATGATCTATGTTGCATTAACAGTTTAGTTGTCTTCAATTATTTTTTTTTTTTATATTATGTATATTCGTTCTATATTTTGTATATTTTATTTATCTTTTTCTATTTCTTTAAATATTTTCTTTTTAACATTTTTTGTTTTCTATCAAGAAATATAGTACATATCTATAATTATATATATATATGTTTTTTTTGGCTGGTTATTTTAATATATTATTAGTAATTATTTTTGTAATGTTTTTCTTAAATTTTTTTTATTTGCCGATATATAATTCTTTTTTTATATGTACTATGTAATATCACTCGTTATTATTTTGACGTAATATATGAGTAATATATGTGTTGGTATTTATATATTTATTTTTATTTTTTTTCTATATATGTGTCTAAATTTTATATCTATTTTTTACCTATCTGTCTTGTTTCTGCTATTTTTTTCGTTTTTATTTTTTTTGTTTTTTTTTTTTTTAAACATCAATGCAAGGAATTCTACTTAATCATTTTTTCGGTCGTGTGCATTTCATTTTGATATAACGCATATTTTTGATGTCTTGACCTTTTTTTTTTTATGTTTGACGAAATTTTATCATCCGAATTTTTTTTACAGTACCCCGAATGTTTCTCTGCATATTGACAGAGAAAACTTGTCACCATTTCGGCAAAGGCAACCAATTAATTACAGGAAAGACACATTTTCCATTGAGTCGATAGAAATTCTTGTAACTCTATTGTGTATATGACAAATTGTTCCACTGAAATGTTAAGAAATTCAGTGACGATTACGATTATCGTCTTACAAGCTTCTTTAAATGCTCATGTCTCCCCAATCTAAATCCTTTCCTTTGCATATAATGTTTTGACTTGTATCATACTTGTATTCATGGATGATATGTATATTATCTCGGGGAAAGTAAATGTGTTAAAAATTAACTAAAGACAAATGTTCAAGCTTACAACTTTTGATCAAGAATAGCTTTTTATTGTCTAACATCAAAAAAAAAAAAAAAAAAAAAAAAAAAGAAAAAAAAAAAGAAAAAGAATAAAAATAGATTATAACTTAGCATAAGCAGACAATAACAAAACATTTTTATGCATTAACGACATGTACTGTCGACACTGGCCTACTGAGTATCTAAACATAAAAATGACATAGTCCTACTGACCTGTCTCCTCGTAGCATTCACTGCAGTATTTGTCAGTTAAAGAACACGATTTATTACATTGGTTACCATAGAAACCATTATTACAACCGTATAAACAGTCAAGGACGTTTCATTAACATATTTGGCTTTCGTTGTTTTTCGGGAGGGCACAGTTCTCCGGACAATCATAGGAACAGTTTGGTCCTGCATGTCCTTTGATCACCGTAGGGAACGTGTTTGACAGTATCGCGTTTTTCGGTTACAGTATATAGAATTTCAAGATGGAGGATTATTTATGGGAAGAGAGGTAGGTGATTTTTATTTCAGGTCCATACTACAAAGTAGTTTCGTTTCTAAAGGATGTTTTTGTGCTTTGCTTGTAAGGAACAGAATCCGGTATCTAGTCATATATTTTCTTCAGACATTGCACCGCAGATTTATCTCTATATTTGTCTCATAAATAATGCAGATTTGACGGTCTGAAATATTTGAATCGAGAGACACAACGTATTTTTTCAATTTCGACAATATTTATGCATGCCTAGAAAAAGTAAAATCTGCAAAAACGTTATAGTCCTTTATGTTAGGGAACTTTAATAAAAGTAAATGACCAGTTGAACCTATTTTCCTGTTCGTTAAATGCGTTTGAAAAAATAAACAATGTTACAGTATAGAGCGAGGTGATTTGTGCAGGGTTACAGCATAGACCTAGCGATTTGTATCCGATTTTGTTACAGCTTATACCCAGATTTTCGGTTACAGTTTTAGACTTCGATATTTTCTATATATACTAAGTAAAATGTATGAATGTTACATCGACTTTTAAATCTCTGTGAGCTTATTGGCCCGATGGTTATTCGTCCGTCTGTCGTACAGATGTGTGTGCAATCTCGTCCGATCAGTTTCTACTTGACTAAATGTGATGAAATTTACAAGACTTTCTACTACATGTAATTACTAGTAAGTTGTTCAAATGGTCTCGGTTGCAATCGGGGATACGAAAACCCAAAACATAGATTTTTGAAAAAAAGGCAATGTTTAAAGACCTTCTCATATTCGAACCAAAAGCATTCAAATCAAATCATGATCATGGCGTCATTTCGAATGCTTCTTTGTTTGAAGTTAAGATTAGTTTGTCATTTATTAAATTAAAAGTCGTTTTTGTTTTATTTCAGACATCCTGTGTAGTTGTCATGTTTCTGAAAAGACAATAGTAATTGGAAACTTATAGAGTATAAATTAAGGTCAGACAAGTACAATATCTTCTTTAGTGAGCCTGATGGAGGTACAATAATAGAGTCGGGATAAAGGCCGTCGACTTCAAATCATCTTTCATTTACTGCTGTAGTTAAAATCCAATAATGACTTTCACTTTGGTTACCAGATTTATATACTTCACAACAGTAGGTGTCAAGTGCTGTGTGGCAGCTGAGAAAGTTGCCCCCGTACTTCACTTTGACAGTGTTGTTATATTTTTCTGGTCCTTCGGGATCATTGATGCCAGCACTATTAAGTGTTGAGAATTGAGTACCACTCAAGCCGGTGCTAGCGGGCGTGAGGGATGTTGCACGTATTTATTATCCCTCATGTACAGACTCAATCAAAACCGAGTCTGCAAATTCTCTTGTAATTTTTGTTGTGATTAATCTTCCGAGGGATCAACTTTTGTTACCGAGATTTGGATTCTTTGTATGTGAGGAATTTATCAAGCTAATTTACGGAAGGTCGGTGGTTCTAGTCAGGTGCCCGCTCGTGTCTGAAATGTTTCACAAATGGTATCTGGTGTCTTTCTTTACAGTAAAGCAGGAATGTTTTCACATGAACCTCAGTGTCGTTGAAACTTAAAATCCAAGAAAGCCAAACGTAACAAACCCTTTTAAAATACTTAAAAAATACATTATGGTAGATGGAAATTCCAACTTAAAATAAAATTTAAGGTTGGCAGTATTGCTCACTTAAATACTGTTTAATCATTCTTAGGGTATTGCCTGCTTGTTAATTGTGTTTTGTTTTTTGACAGCCTTATCTATGGTATGCAGGATTCATAACCTCCAATCCCCTCTCAAAATTTCATTTTATTTAGTTTCACTCCTTGTACTTCTCGTTAGGGCACACGCAAATTTTTAACCTGGGGGTAATATGCGCTTTTCATAAGAATGGCAATAACGTGGTGAGCTTTGAAGGTTCCATGATAACGCGCATATGAACACATACACGAGATGTTAAAAAATCTAAAAGTGTACCAGTTCATGTTAAATGTGAATTCTGCTGAAGCCGGTGCTAGAGGTCTGTCTGGACGTTAGCCTTGCAGTTACCACTACCGTCCGCCTGAAACAGGTTCTAATCAAACTGAGCCTGCAACATTTTCATGTTTTCCGTGTTGGACTTCTGTTAAGGATTCTTTTTTTTCTCTATTTTAATTACTAATAGGCATTATTATAATGTGTAAATGAAATCAAGCAATAATCTTTCTTCTTCTCAATACAATTCGATAAAAAGTTACTGTTGTTGTCGTGAAAACAGTCCTATAACTTAGGACATTACTTATTCTGCATAAAAGTTCTCAATCTGAAACTTAAAGTAAGAAAAATAATCAAACTATAGACTTTTTCTGGCTGAAAAAAAAAGTAATACAACCTTTTTTCAAAGAATGTATTAAATAGAAATGGTATGCGTTATTTCATAAAAAAATAATGATACAAATCGAACTTTGTTTGAAATTTGGCAATGTAAATCTAAACTGTAACCGAAATTGGGTATAACCTGTAGGCAAAATCGGATCAAAGTCGCTAGGTTATTGCTGTAACCCTGCAAAATTAACCTCGCTCTTATACTGTAACATTGTTTATTTTTTCAAAACGGTTTTTACCAACAGAAAATAAGGTTCAATCTGGTCATTTACTTTTAAAACGTTTCTAAACACAAAGGACTAACGTTTTTGTATATTTACTTTCTTTAGCCATGCTTAAATAATGTCGGAATGGGGAGAAAAAATACGTTGGTCTCCGATTCAAATTTTTATAACCGTCAAAGTCTGCACATTTATGAGACAAATAAAGAGTAAATTCTGCGGTGCCAGGTCTGAAGAATAATATGACTAGTATACCGGATTCTGTTCCTTACAAGCAAAGCAGCAAAAACATCTTTTACAAACTAATACTACTTGTTAAGTATGAACCTGAATAAAAATCACCTACTCTCTTCCCATACAATAATCCTCTCATCTTGAAAAAATTCTATACTGTAACCGAAAAACGCGATTACTGTAACAACGTTCCCTACGCGTGTTTGATTACAGACCCATTGAAGGCATTCTCCCGTAATATTTATCACAATTCGGTTTTTTCCGTTTTCCGCTCTGATTTGATTTTATAACAGTTTTTCGGGCAATCGTATGAGCAATTCAAACCAAAAAAGCCTTTGATGCATCCATGTAAGCAGTGTCCGGAAGTGACGTTACAAGTGTCTGTTGTATTGTCTGGATTTGGTAAACAGTTTTCACAGCTGTAAACAGTACCTGTAGAAAGTAAACTAAATGTTTTAATCTGACCATTTTTTATATGAACAATTATAGATCTAGTTTATTTTTTTCTAAAGAATTTCAAGTTTATTTCAGCTGTGTTTATCCGTTGAATGAATGTAAAAATAACGCGAGAATCGTGCAACATGTAAAGGAATCGTTTAGTTTAATAATATTCTAATGCAACTATAAATGCATGTAAGATATGTAATTAACACAAAACAAATTACATATCAAGTTAGGCAATGGGGGTGGCTAACAAGTTAATAACAACATTAGCATCACCCTTCCCAAGATAATACATCGTCTTCATTTATTACAAAATTTGAGCCGTGTCATGACAAACACCAACATAGGTGGAATTGGCGAAAGCAATGGATCCAGACCAAGCCTGCCATTCGCGCAGTCTGATCAGGATCCATGCTGTTCGCTATTAGTTTCTTTACTTGTTATAGGGTCTATAAGCGAACAGCATGGATCCTGATCAGACTGCGCAGATGCGCAGGCTGGTCTGGATCCATGCTGGTCGCAAACGCATTACGTTGGTTTTGTCATAACACGGCTCATTTGTTAAATGTTAAGGTTCAAAGTTTCGAAAAGTAAAATGAATTAGAATATATATTGTTTAGAAAAGCTTGAAACAAACACAGATTGATAATAAAATAAGTACTTACCCCATAACAAGGCTAAAATAAACGCCAGGCTACAAGCTTGTCTTCTCATCCTTATCCGTCGGAGAATCAGACTGTTTCGTAATGCATTATTGTTCGAAATGCTTTCAGTTTTCTGAAACTCTAACAACAATCTGAACGTGATGTTTACATATGCGGAAACATTCAGAAATATTTCCTTTCGGGTATTTTTTTTTATCTAACAAATTCATAAAAATGTTCGTATTTAACCTGAATAATTGAAACTTGACATTTATATAATCACAATTCAAATAATAATTGTTTACAATAAAAAGTTGTTTGTACATACGGAAATATTAGAACCTGCCCTTAATTTTGTAAGCAAAAACAACATTTAATATAAATTACGTCTTTATTTAGTAACAGCTTCCACTTATTTTGCATAAAAAGTTCTTGAAAGCCGAGTAGAACGAAACATGTGATGTTGATGTCTTTGTATTTTTCTCTGATGTTAAATAAAGTTCTATTTTGCTTTTTTACCGTAAAAGTAAGCTAGTAAAAGTAAAACTATCTGACCAATTTTGTTGCGGTTGTATTTCCCACAAACCCCTGGGGTTGGAGCTCAAAACGCCTTTAAAATACAAATGAAATGTAATTTTTGAGCTCCCAAAACCCAAATGTCTTGGTATTTTAGTTAGTAAAAAGGTCAAATTTAACTCCCTCTAAAGTACGTCTTTAAAAATTTGAAATTTTCAAAGATGTGCTTAAAAAAATTTTTTGGGGTGTCAGAAATAAATTATAGAAAACTTCTTAAAACTTACGGTTTAAATATTCACCTTGCATTATCGTTTTTTTTCTTTTGATAAGCTTTCATTTTGAAGATGTTTATTTATTCATAATCACATGCGAACAACAATTATTGTTCAACAACATTGACTTGGCACTCCTGCATTTGACCCTGTAGTTGGTATATCCGTAACCGTCACGATCTACTTGTTAATCGATATGAATGTAAATATCCCATTAAAATGATGTAAATTAAAAATCCCTCTTAGAACAGCACTGTACTGAAATAAGAATATACTTGTGAATAAAAACACGGCTTAAAATGTATTCTAAAATCAGGTGCAGTAAAACTTCCATTCTTGCAAATAAATTTAAAAAAAATCATAACGTGTTGTTGGTAAGGAATCAAACCAGATACCTAAAGATCGGTAGTCCGGAGTCTAAATCAATATACCACACCTCACTGACGAGTGAAGTTAGCAAAACTATCGATATATTCGATAGATACTGGTCAGTGTTTATTCAAATAACCTTTACGAAAGTTAATGAAATGCCAGGTCAGAATCGTTAGACAATACATCCACTTTTACAATACAATAGAGTTACATCCACTTTTACAGTACACTTTGCTTACTCCTTCTTCGTGTATATAATTTCTGTATCATTTATAACTCGAAATTATCAAAATTTATGAGACATACACAGGCAGAAAACGTATAAACAGGAGATGTACATGTACATGTAAAACAAATCTCCGGAACTATTAACTTAAAATTAACTTAACTCCAATATCTATCAATCTATTTGATTTATGAAAATATTTTGTATATTTAAAATGATTTACAAAATGTATATAGAAAGGAAGTGTGATCACACACAGCAAGCTATCAGATATTTGTACAATCTGGAGAGATTTTTACCTGATTTTTTTATGAAAATAAGATTTGTGTTTTGTTGTTGTTTAGCGTCGCATCATTACTGTAATGTTCATATTTTAATATTCAATCTTTTACTGGTAATGAAGACTTCATGTGCCCTTCCGCGCATTAGTTCAGGCACCACCGACATTGCGTAAGCTAGCTAGCTAGCATCCTAACATGAAATGAGCCGCGTCACGACAAAACCAACATAATGCGTTTGCGACTAGCATGGATCCAGACCAGCCTGCGCATCCGCGCAGTCTGATCAGGATCCATGCTGTTCGCTTATAAACCCCATAACAAGTAGTGAAACTGATAGCGACCAGCATGGATCCTGATCAGACTGCGCGGAGGCGCAGGCTGGTCTGGATCCATGCTGGTCACAAATCCATTATGTTGGTTTTGTCGTGACGCGGCTGAAATAATCCGCATGATCCTAGTGGTATACAAACCCAGTGACGGGGGGCAAATGGTCAAAATCAGATCAACAGTTTTTGAAAAGAATATAACAGATATTTCCATTTGTTTGCCATAGCAAGAAGTGTATAAAAACAGTTTTTCAACATTAGGAAACACAAACTTTTATGAAAAACCATGTGTTGTAGAAATAAAGTGTAGATGGGCCAATAAGTTATCCATAAAAGCTAACTGATCATTCTGTGCTCTGGTGTTCAGTCAAGGTAAGTGTTACGCACTTCAGGGCTTTTTATTAGTCATACACGTTGCACAAGCATGCTCTGGACAGGTGGTCAATATCAAATAAATGATCATTCAAACTTTAATCATTATGGAAATATAAGCATTAAACTGTATATACAGAATATTCAGACCAAGTCTTTTATATTGGAAAAGACCAGACAAAAAGCATATTTATTTCCTTCATTTTATTTCAGCTTGTATTATGTATACATAATATGGGTATCTTTTATGAAAACACATTCCAAATGGGGAAAAAACCTCTCAAATCTCATACAAATTATCAACTTAAACAAAATCAATACCTGAAGTTAAATGCATGTATCTTGTTCTTTTAAAACAAGTTAAAGGATAATCTTCATAATAGCCGCATCACGACAAAACCAACATAATGGGTTCGCGACAAGCATGAATACAGACCAACCTGCGCATCCACACAGTCTGATCAGGATCCATGCTGTTTGCTAACAAACCCTATTACAAGTAGAGAAACTGATAGCAAATAGCATGGATCCTGATCAGACTGCACGGATGCGCAGGCTGGTCTGGATCCATGATGGTCGCAAATGCATAACGTTGGTTTTGTCATGACACAGCTCATATATCTTATGGTAGTTCAGGCAGTTCAATCTATCTTGTAACATGTCCATTTTATTACAAGTATAGAATTAAATTAACATCAATTTATAAATTGATCTTACAATTTTTTTGTATGATTCAAGAAATGAATGAGTTATTTTATATCTATGTTATCAGTGTTAAATATCTCACTTTTATATATATATTTGATACTGCAACATTTTATAATTAAGAATGGACGGTGCCAAACTATAAGCAGTGAAAGTTTATTTAACAAATAAAGCAGTGAAAAAATTATCTTTACATAAAAAGATCTTGAGAAATAAAACAAAATCAAAAAGTTATTCCTGCTTTGCAATAAAAACAATCACATTCAAATTGAATTCATAAACAAGTATCTTACAACAGTAAAACTCCTCTTAAGCACCAAAAAGTTCTGTGAGTTTATAACAAGTTCATTGATTGGTTAATTTCAGGTATTTGAAAAAAAATCAACCAATCAGGTGAAAGAATGTTAAATTGCTTATAATTATCAAATGTTTGAGTGAGCGGGTTTGAGCAAATCATTCAAATATGAAATAGAAAATTTTATACTAGAGATATGAACATCATTTCGCAAGAATTATATAAGTAAAATTTATGTCCTAAATATTTTATGTTAAAGAGACTGTTTCCAAGTTAATTGCAACTCTATTTGTATATTGTAATCATTAACAGGTACAATTTTGTTTTACAAACTTTTATCTAAAAAAAATGAGGTATAACAAATTCAAGACGAAAATCATAAAAGCTGACGTTATCTCACAACTGCTCGTTTTTGTTTGTTTGTTAACACTGATAAATGCAGTTAATAAATCATGACATGTGCTATTTATACATACATGCGCATATGTCATTGTGACCATAATAATCAGTGAAACTAACCTACATACAAAAAGACTAAGACCATTTCATGTTGTAGAATTTCAACTATAAGGGCATAAAAGACTCAATAATGTAGAAGTTTTTGTTGATAAAAACAATACTTTAATTACTTTAAGAAACAGCACATTTTCATAGCTGGTTTTATTATCATTTGGTTTCACAGATGTTAAGTTGGCATATTTTATGAGGTATTCTATCTTTAAGTATCTTGAACAGGTCAAATAATAATCTTTAAGTAATGCATGCTTTAGAAAAACAGCACAAAATGTGTTTAGAGGTGTCTAAAGCCCATATTTGTTGGCTAAATAACAGCTATAGATTGTTAAATCTGCATCAGCACCTTTATATGTTGGAGACAGGAATTATGAGGTAGGCTTTATACTCATATACACTGTAAAATTAAATACTGAATACACCTACATGCAATATTAAGCTAATATTATCCAACCAATACTATTAAAATAATGATCTAAATATAACCAACTCAAATTAAAAGCAAAAACATGGGATGTAACTTATCAGTAAAAGGAAAGGGGGAAAATATAATTCGGTAAAAAAAATATTCTAACTTAAATTACTGAGAAATAATCGGAAGTACAATGACTCACAATGCCTACAATTTAGGTTATTTTATAAATTCAATGTAATATAAAACATTCCCAATCTTTGTTTAAATTTATACCTATGTTTTATCCCAGTTACAGAATTCCCAAAGTGTAAAACCATTCTAAAATTCTAACATATGATTGGTCAGTTCAAAATAAAGTTTTTATCACACCTGATTGGTCAGTTCCAATCATAGTTCAAAACCGACCAATATAGGCGAGTACAATTATGTGTCTCCTTCAAAAATTCAAACTTTATAACCCTGTGAAAATAGCAATATTATACAAAATAACAAAAAAATAACAAAATAAAATAGAAATGTGTAGGGACTAAATGGACATTCTGAAACCTGCCATTTTTCATATGCCTATACATACAAAATCGTCTATCAATCTGCACTAATAATATAAATGTGGAATATTATAATGTGAAGGTAATTTCTAAAATTTAAACTGAATAAGCTATAATGATAGAAAAGGAATATTACTAAGTTCCTATTTGAAATGGTCCCATTACAGGTAACTTTACTGCCATTTTCTTCAGAGAAACTATTAAACATTGGTTTAAGCATAGAATATGCTATAGGTAAACAGGTGTATGCATGTGTAGAACTTAAATTAAAACGACTGACTATATTAGTAAAGAAAAACATTACCATTGAGTGGCAGTTTTTCTACCATATTTAATCTTTTTGTCAACATAAACAATGTAGTATCATAAATATACAAGCATGTAAATATAATATGACTACCCGATACCCATTTTCTTTAATATTTTAAAAGAAATTACAATTTGTTTTAAAGATGGCTGTATACAGGACATCTAAGACACAGAAATATAGTTAAGATTAGAATTAATATTGATATGTTGATTTTAAATCATACAAATTGATTTTATATTTGTGTTCACCGGTTTATAACACAAGGTACATGTTTGTAAATAAATCCATTCACCAATTGATCATAAATGCAAAAATAATATACCAAACTTTACTCACATATAAAGTTGTCAATCAGAGATTTCTTCATAAGACTTGACAACATTAATTATGATATTCCAACCAGAAATAAATAGATGCAGAAAATAATTACTGCCCAGACTAGTTTGACTATGATTTTAAATGAGTTTTGAAATACATGTAGTTAAACTGCCTCTTTATCCCTAAAATCAATAAGAACTGTGAACTATCAGGCATTTTTTTAAAGTTATAGTAAAAACCTTTTCAAGCCCCATCTCAGAAATCTTCATATTCATAATCTCAAAAAAAACTATTATCATAATTTGCCACAATGTTCACACTACCAAAGAAATAACAGCGAACTCCCAGCAAACAATTATCAATTTGATAAAACAAAAGCTGCCTTCAGTTGAGTCTTTCCTTTTGATTAATAATTTATAATACAAATGTTTGCTTGGCAAAAGATGTTCTAAAAATTAGTCAAAATTCTTACTGTAAAATTTAACTAAAATTATAAGTTAAAGGAGACCAAATGTTTACAATTTACAACCATTAAATTACAAAACAATACTTCCACTCATATCAATGCACTTTAGAAAACAATAAAACATCATTACACAAAACCTTCAGTTAGTTAATAAACTTGTAAGATTATAGTTCAGTACTAAAAAAAACCCCCTAAAATGTTTACAAACATGTTTTATATCATTTTTTATATAACAAAAGCACCGTTGTGTTGATCCTTGCTTTCATATAACATGTATATTAACTATTTATAAATCAAATAAACTGCTCTATTTATATAACTGAAGAAGAACAGATTCCATTTCCTTACCCTGTCGAATACCTGTACAGTTTCCATTTTTGGAATTGTCCAAAGTTAGTAAGCCAACAGTACAAAGTCTAATCAGACTGCACTGATGTGACAGCTGGTCTGGCTCTAAACTGGTGGCAAGGGCAAATAACTCTCAGTTGCAGCAGATTCAGGATTCAACAGTTGAGACAAGGGATTTCACATGAATCAAACACTATATTTACAATAATTTTATACAAATTCAACAATAAAATTAACAAATTATTCGAAACCAGTCCGACATAAAAACCTAAGCCTATCTTCTCTGCTTACAAATTACAAAGTGAAATTTTTACCCCTATTGGATTTAATATCATCTTTAATTGAGCCGCGCCATGACAAAACCGACATAATGGGTTTGCGACCAGCATGGATCCAGACCAGCCTGCGCCTCCGCGCAGTCTGATCAGGATCCATGCTGTTCGCTTACAAACCCTATTACAATAGAGAAACTGATAGCGAACAGCATGGATCCTGATCAGACTGCGCGGAGAAGCAGGCTGGTTTGGATCCATGCTGGTCGCAAACCCACTATGTCGGTTCAATTTACCTTTACTCCATGAAATTATTTTTTCAAACAAAAGATTTTTAAAGCGACTAAGTTACATTAAAGGCTCATTAAGCCCCAAAAATACATTTTTTTATTACTGTAACCCAATTTATATTCGCGAATACAAATTTTCGCGTTTTGCCGAGGTCGGACATATTCGCGAATATTAATTTCCGCGTTTTCTTGATTTCCGGATAAAAAATATTCGCGGATTGGAAAGTCGGGTGGGGCCGTAAAATCCATTAGCCGACTATTAATCTTCAATAATTGAGGTCATTATTTGTGTCTTAAATGGGATTAACAATACGCTAGCCTTATATTGTATTGGTAAGTGAAATGTGATCACAATTCAGCAAAACATTTCTCTATATATGTACATGTACGCATCGTTCGTCTTCATTCTAAACATGTCGTTAAAAGGGTTATTGATAAAAAAATAAACCCTTCTTCCAACATCTTATTTTCAAAACATATTTATATTTTGTACCCACAGTTTATCTAGAAAAGTCTTGAAGAAATTCAATTTTAGCGTTTCATAAAAAAAAACACCTTCTCCAATCAGGGATCGAACCCACGCCGACAAAATTATGTTATATGAGTCCGCAATCTAACCAACTGAGCTATACAGGCTGTTAAGTTGGACGGGTAAATGAAACCATCTTGTATTTCACTGCTTGTAATTATGTACACCCAATACCCTTTTGTGATGCTCGATAGGTTTATACCACCTTTGTCTTAACAATTCACTTAAACAATTATTTTAAAGGATCCAAAAAACAATAGCCTTTTGTGATGCTCGATAGTTTTTCCACTTTTGTCAAACGATTTATTCAAACAATTATTTTATAGGGTCCAAACAAGAAGAAACTTAAAACTGACACATGCTCCGTATAGTACCCTATACCGAACGTGATTGACAATAGTCCTACTAGTATCTCATAAACTGTATTAAAATATGGATGTTTTTTTTGATTGCTATATTGACATAGAGTTTTTTGATATTTATAAAATAGTAGAAGTTTACTTTGTTTGTTTTTTTATTGCTTTATGGCAATATTCATAAATTCATTACTTCCTAACAGGTGCCGGTAAAATTCGAATATATCCGTTCAAGTAGCTTTGCATGAACGTCTAAAATAAAAATTTCTCTCCAATTTATTCGCGAAATCGTGCGGACTTATTCGCGCAAACAAATATTCGCGCTTCGTGGCCATCCGCGAATAAAGCGAATATTAATTGGTCGCGAATATTCGTTGGGTTACAGTATTTCTTAAAAGCTTTGCAAGTTATCTATTCTGTTACAGTTTTTCTAAAAAGTACTCATTAGCCATAAAACTGAACCATCTTTGCTTTTTGGCCATTAGTTCAGTTATAGTAATTAAGTATTTCGCATGGAAGGCAAAATACTACTTTGTTCTTGTTTTGTTACTTTTACGACATATTATTTCATATTCAACACTGTTTTCTTCATGAGATTCATCATTAAAACATTATAAAACGCAGGTTTGTATTTTTCTTCAAAGTAAAAATCATATATATTTCTGAGGCTTAGTGTGCCTTTAAATATTATGTCTTAAATAAAGCTTTTCTATAAAAGGGTACATCATAAGACTGAAATTCAGAAAGATGAATAAACTGTAAAATAAGATCTCTAAGATTATAGATGTGCACCAAATATGAAAATGTTGCTTTAAAAAAGTGGAGCAACATATAAATATGTAACATTTCACAGGTTTAACAGTTCATCTGTCGTCAAAACATTGTTTATACATGGAACTAAATCTTAAATATAAAAAAACTTTCAATCTTTGAGTTCATGTTTATTGGACTATCGATCAAATATATCCTTAAAACAATTTAAATAAAGGAATTTTTTATTCATAATATCTGAAATATCTTAAAAAAAATCTCCACTGAGGTCTTAAAGGCTAAAAACACAAAATTTGAATGCACAGATCAGCTGGCACACTTTAAACAGAAAGATATGCAAAATATGAATTTGAAAATACTGAGAAATTCTTTGAAAATCTTATTTTCTGATATTCTTAGCCTAATCGGAGGGAAAAGTTTTGCAATGCTTTTCAATTTTGGGTCATTTATCACAAGCAGAATAATTATTATTCTTGAAAAAAAAAAGCAGACCCGTCATGGCAAAAAAACTCAGTGGAGTCCCTTTAAAGCATTTTAATTCAATCACAAGTTGAGTAGTAATACAGTCATAAAATGAAGATTGACTTTTTATGCGTCAATGTTATAAATATCTCAATATTTCTCTTATTCACTGAAAACATGGCCACATGGATATACAAGTTTTATCATGTAACAGGCAAACAATGCGTAATCACAAACAAGAGGGCCATGATGGCCCTGAGGTCGCTCACCTGTATATAGCCCCCCCCCCCCCCCCCGCCCAATTTTCACCCAAGGGCTTTTATTTGTTTATTTGAACAGACTTGGTAGACACCCATAAGAAGATGTTTCATGCAGAACATCTAAGTTCTAGCTCATTGGGTTTTTTAAAAGAAGATTTTTTAAGTTTTTACTATACACATATAGTTAAAAACAATGACACCCCTCGGGCAGGGCCAGTTTTGACCCCTGGGCTTTTATTTGAACAAACTTTGTAGATATTAACTTAAAGATGTTTCATGCTTAATATCTAAACTCTATTTATTTGGGTTTTTTCAAAGAAGATTTTTAAGTTTTTGCTATGTATATAAGGAAAATCAATGACCCCTGGGGCGGGGCCAGTTTTGACCTCAGGGCTTTTATTTGAACATACTTGGTAGACACCCATTAGAACATGTCTCATGCTAAATATCTTAGCTCTAGCTCTTTGGGTTCTTTAAAAGAAGATTTTTTAAGTTTTTACTTTATGCATATAAGGAAAATCAATGACCCCCTGGGGCGGGGCCAATTTTGACCCCAGGGCTTTTATTTGAACAAACTTGGTAGACATTCACTAGAAGATGTTTCATGCCAAATATCTAAGCTCTAGCTCTTACGATTCTTTAAAAGAAGATTTTTTAAGTTTTTACTATATGCATATAGGGAAAATCAATGACCCCGGGGCGGGGCCAATTTTGACCCCAGGGCTTTTATTTGAACAAACTTGGTAGACATTCACTAGAAGATGTTTCATGCCAAATATCTTAGCTCTAGCTCTTTGGGTTCTTTAAAAGAAGATTTTTTAAGTTTTTACTTTATGCATATAGGGAAAATCAATGACCCCCTGGGGCGGGGCCAATTTTGACCCCAGGGCTTTTATTTGAACAAACTTGGTAGACATTTACTAGAAGATGTTTTATGCCAAATATCTAAGCTCTAGCTCTTACGGTTCTTTAAAAGAAGATTTTTTAAGTTTTTACTATATGCATATAGGGAAAAATCAATGACCCCCCGGGGCGGGGCCAATTTTGACCCCAGGACTTTTATTTGAACAAACTTGGTAGACACTCACTAGAAGATGTTCCATGCCAAATATCTTAGCTCTAGCTCTTACAGTTCTTTAAAAGAAGATTTTTAAAGTTTTTACTATATGCATATAGGGAAAATCAGTGACCCCCCCGGGGCGGGGCCAATTTTGACCCCAGGGCTTTTATTTGAACAAACTTGGTAGACACTCATTAGAAGATGTTTCATGCCAAATATCTAAGCTCTAGCTCTTAGGGTTGTTTAAAAGAAGATATTTAAAGATTTTTCTTTCGGTTGCCATGGCAACCAGAGTTCTGCATGGAATTAAATTCTTTGAACAATTTTTAAAGGTGACCACCAAAGGAACATTCCTGTGAAGTTTGGATGAAATTGGCTCAGTGGTTTATGAGGAGATGTCATTTAAAGCAAAAGTTTACGGACGGACGACGGACGGCGGACGGACGGACGGACGGACGCCGGACGAAAAGCGATCACAAAAGCTCACCCTGTCACTTTGTGACAGGTGAGCTAAAAATAAGATATCGTACAAAAATTATAATTAAAAAAAAAAAAACAGTTATATCTTACAAAATAGTCAAAATTAATTTATAAAAATTGTAATTGTGATAATCCTGTAGTGCGTTTACCAATCCTAATAAATATACCTTAGCTCTAATCTCAATATGATCTTAAATCAAGACAAATTTTGCTTCCAATAAATACTTGTTAAATATGTTTACTAAATAATCACATAACGTTTGATTTCATCAATTTTATCACTTTTACAGCAAACAATATTTACCAACTTAAAAAAAAAACACCTGAATAAGTGTAATATATAAGTTTGAAAACCAATGAGACTATGATTCTCTAGCTGTCACATGCCGTGGTCATTTTCCTTCATTTAATTTCTGATTAACAATGATCAAGCTCACATAGTGGCTGAATTTCAGCTGATTTATCACGCAATTCGCAAGATAAATACTAAAATTACCTTACAAATTGTTTATCAATTAACGCCAATTACCTCAAAACTGTATTACATGTTTCACAATAACCTTCATGATTTTAGTTTGAGTATATTTGTTTAATCATTTAGTGTACATGTATCGGACAGATGGCTTTCAAACACTGTGCGTGAATAATGAGAAAATACTCTGCTATCCGGGTGCAGTGAAGAAAAAAAACATGAACTCTCATTAACAAAAATAATAAATAAAATATCTGTCACTAAATTTTAAAAAATTGTCACTATATAAGGTTTATCCTCAAGAAGTATCATCAGTTATTGCATTTCGAAATTTCGGTAAACATAAGCCAAGTTGCCTCTCCATGCCGTCAAATGTTGCTAAAGCCAATCGGAAGCCTCCTATATGATCTGGATTGCGTGATAGTTGCTCTTGTAAGTGCGTGGGTTTGGCTGCAGAACCTTCAGGTCGTCTAAAATTTGAAAATGTGATACGGTCATAAATATAATACATTTTCTATTTCTTCTAAAATACAGCATCACAACTTCCAAGCTTTACTAGTTAGTGTAGGCCAAAACTTGCTCATTATTTCAAAACCCTGCTGACCATTAACCCATTACCCGATATACACACCTTTTTCACCCCCCCCTTTTTTTGTTGTCTCTAATGGTGAAGAAATGCCTTATTTAGGCCCCCAACACTTGTTTTTGTTTGACAAATGTTGTTAAAAGAAGTAATCACTTTTTCGGCGCTGCCCCCCAACCAAAAGATACATCAGGGGGTTGCCATGCCAGAAGGGGGATGTGCCCCCTTCTGTTTGGGGGTTTTGAAAGGGGTGGAGTCCCCCTCATCGCCAAGAAAATTTTGGACTTGTGAGAGGCTATAAATGACCCCAGATTGATAATAAGGTAACGTGTAACCAACGCTGAAAAGCATTTGACTCTATCTCAATCCATTGAAAGCAGCACTTTGAAATCAATTTTGATGGAAAAAATCAACGCAAAATAGTGATTTTTGGCAATTTTGAGATGTCCCCTCGTTGCCATGGTAACAGAAAATTTAAGCCTGAGCATGTTGTTTCAAGGGCAATGGTCCAGTCAACATTTGTGCCAAGTTTGATTAGTGTTGAAGCAGTTTTTATAGTATTATAGCAATTTGAACTTGTAACGGGAGACTTTTCAATGAAAACAGCCATTTTTCACAAAATGCTCATGAAGTAATGGGTTAAGTTAATATGACATTCAGCGTGCTAGTTGGACACATAAAATTATAATATTTTACAATTTTTAAAAATATTACCAGTAGAATGGGGAAAAGGAAAGTATGTATTTAATCATATCCAAGTATTTGTATGCCCATTTCTAGAGGTGTGCAGGGGGTGACAAATTTTGCCCTAGTCTACCCATCCCACTGTCCTGCTGTCAAATCCTTCTTAAGACTCACAAAACAGAGAAATGTGGGGGTATCCATGTCATACAGGCACATTGCTAGTTACATTATTGAATCTAATCTAAATATACTTATATCAAACTATTTGAAAGCAAAATCAAAGTTATACCTTCCACCAAAGTCAACATAGAAGAGTCTCTGTAAAAGTTCATATGTGAGCAAAGTAACACCAAACTGTGGGGAAGAACGGAACACTCGAGCTGAAAAAAAGATTCATGCAATAAATCAAATACACAGGTATTATATAATCATATAAAATCTTTTTTGTTTTGTTCGTTTGTTTGGAGGTGTTTACTTCACTTCATATAGGTCATATGGCAACACCTCAGGTGCCCCTTTGTGCATTATTTCAGGCAAAAACAGCCACCTGAGAAGAACCTTTGACAAGTGACATTCCCCAAGCTACCTGGATAGCCTTCTCACATGAAAGAATATATAACTCACATAAAAACTAAGATCTTTTCATTATATCCATACTCTAGAGAATGTAAAAATCTGTTAAATAATTCAAGGAATCTTCTTGTTTACACTCAAGAAATCTTTTCTTACAGGATTTGTGGCTGTAACGAGAAACAACCTCACTAAAATTCTTAACAATATCTATTGTTAATTGAAACTGTGAACATTACATTGATATGTAACACAATAGTTAAAATTTTCACATCATACCAGGTGTTCCTTTCCAAAATGCACCAAAGCCTTCTTCTCTTAATATTTTGCGAGCACAATCTATGACACCATTGTAAGTTGTCTGCCCTTGACGCGCAGCTACCTGTAGACGGGTTTTTATCACATCAGCAGGTGTTGGCAAGGCAGCGGCAGGAGCACCTAAATATACAGAAAACTCAAGACATATAAAAACATCAACCTTTTGTATACTTATAATAATGTAACTTCCCCCATTTAAAATAAATCCTATAATGATGACTGAAAAGAATGCTTTTCACTTTGTTGAAAAATGCTTTTCACTATGCTGAAAAAATGCTTTTCACTAAGTTAATGACAGAAAAGTTTAAAAGGTAATCACTTGCTACCATTTCCTTTTATTATATTCAATGAAATTCAATGAAACCTCATCAAGTTTTTTTTCATAAATCTGAATTACTGGTAATAATGCCAACTAACCTGCACACGTAGCAGCCAGGAGTAAAGTACCAGGATGATTATAGCCATTTTCATCAGCGAAAGATTTCTTGAAATGAGCGTAGGCAGGGAAATATATGGCTGAGAATGGTATATCTCTAAGGAAACATGCTCTTGAACCCTGAAATATTTTATCATAATTATAATAAGATTACCAGGTTGTCATTAGAAGGTGGCTGAAAAAAAGGAAAATTACTATCTCAAACGCATTTCTGGCAGCCTCAAAACATAGAAAATACTCTTTGCTGTGTGTGATAAAAACCAAAAATGACTGTCATATATTCAAAACAAACCGTCTCATAAACTTTTTAATGGCAATCCCAAATATATCTTCACAGAATTCTTTCTAGAATTATACTAAAAATATATAAAATTTATAATAAAAATTTAGACATTTTATATAATAACTATTTTTGCAAGCTTGTGATAAAGAATTAATCCAGTCTGCCTCACCAACAAATATAACATGTCTTAGTATAGTCTTTTGTTACACAAAGATATTAATGAATTTAATATATCATAATTCACTGTAGTGATTTTAAACTTGACCAAAATATATTGACCAAACAATACACTTTGATAACTACCTTGTAAAGTCCAAGAAATCCAAGCTCTTTGACAACACCGATTGCACTAACTTTCGTCTTGCCAACAATCTCTCCAGCTACCTGTAGACGAATCTTTACAATCTCTAGAGGATTTGTAAACATCACCTGCGATGCTCCTGCCTGAAATTTACATATGTTTAACATAATTGATTTAAATAACCTTATCAATATCAAGATCATATCAAAGTACAGCTCACTGATCACAGAATACGCTTGCTAAAAAAGGAAGTCACCTGTTTAAGTAATTATGACAAATTCCAGAAATACTAAAGGGAAATAATCAATTTCTGCATATGAAACACATAAAAATGCAACAAAAATATAATTATATAAATCAAGTAATATATTTTATGTCCATAAAGATAAAAGCTGATAGGAGTCCAAATACAATAATATTAACACACTAAATTATATAAATCATAAATGAATTTAACTATCATAAAATAACAATAAATGAAATAATTTTGTAATGTATCAAATGTATACTTACTATTCCACCAGAAGCCATCTCTGCCCACAATGAAATAGAACCATCTTTGTTACATAGTTTATCTCTCATCAAATCATTCATCTGAAAATATCAAACTCTTAATTTAATATTCAAGTATTTTCAATACAAAGTAACAGAATATTTGGTCATATTAAGACCAGTCCATTTAATAAAACACTTGATAAATTTCAAATTTATTTCTGTTCATTTCTTGGAGTCTAAGTACAGCAATCTCTAGTAAAAATTAAACCAAAACAAAACTTACTACTTGAAAAGTTATTTCTTCTTTACACTTTTCTGCATTACATTTTTAGACATTTTGTTTAAAGGAAACTAAATTCTAGAGAATTGTGTTGACATTGTTATTGAAATTATATTTGAGCCGCGTCACAACAAAACTAACATAATGGGTTTGCGACCAGTATGGATCCAGACCAGCCTGTGCATCCGCGCAGTCTGATCAGGATCCATGCTGTTCGCTTACAAACCCTATGGCAAGTAGAGAAACTGATTCAGGCTGGTCTGGATCCATGCTGGTCGCACTAAGTTGGTTTGGTCATGGCACGGCTCGTTTTATAATAGGAAATCATAACCTTAATTACTTGCTTATCAAATATATAAATAAAGGAATGTTAGCAAACATATACCAGTTCATAGAAAGATATTTTTTATGCAAAATAACATACTTTACCTCAATTTTTTTTCAATTGAATATTAAAACTAGGATTTTAAAAGACATAATAGAAGTGAAATCTTACTGTCAGTTTTATAGCCTTCTCAGGTGCTACTCCAACAAGTTGAGGTCCCAGCCCTCTGTACAGCCCTCGGGCACCCTCGTGACGTATCACTTTCTTGAAACAATCAAAACTATTTTTGTACATTAATTCTCCCACCATCATACCTGTCCTCTGATTTTGTAGACGAGTTTTTACCAGATCGATAGGGTAGACAGCTGTAGCCCCAGTAGCTGTTGGAAAAACAAACAAATTATAGTAAATAGATCACAAATACATGTATAACCAATTCTATATCTGATAATAGCTCAGAAAAACATCAAATTTGTCAAAAAATTAAATAATTTTATAAACTGATATCTGTAAAGAAATTTTAGGCTGATAAAAACTTATGAAAGGGTGGTCTTTTTAAGCTATTACAAAAACTGATGCCCCTAACGTAGAGGAAAGAAGCTTGCAACACAAATTACATTTTCAGGCATGGCTTGCCTGGTTACAAAAATGCAACATCAGTGCCCTATTAGCATGTCACAAATTCCACACACATCTGTTGTGGTGAATGGCCAAATTCTAAAAGAAATAAAAGCCTACCTTATGTCATTTTCATGTTGTTTTTGTTTTTTTTGGTACATATTTTCAAATAGAACAGATAAAAAAAACATTGTTTTGTTTATGTTATCTTTGAGCAATTTTAAACAATTAACTCAATCATATCATTAATTTTAAAGCTGCATGCCTCCCGATGAGCCAAAATATTTTAAGAAAATTAAACTTAAAGGAAAATGTACTAATATTATCAAGAAAGTAAAATGATTTAAGTAATAATTTACATGCTATGTGTAATTAACCCATTACGTTATATACACGCCTTTTAACGCCTTTTTCACCCCCCCCCCATTTTGTTGTCTCAAATGGTGAAAAAATGCCTTATTTAGGCCCCCAACACTTGTTTTTGTTTGAGAAATGTTGTTAAAAAAAGTGACCTCTTTTTCGGCGCGGCCCCCCAACCAAAAGATACATCAGGGGGTTGCCAGAAGTGGGATGTGCCCCCTGGGGGTTTAAAGGGGGGCAGAGTCCCCCTCATCGCCAAGAAAATTTTGGACTTGTGAGAGGCTATAAATGACCCCAGATTGATCATAAGGTAACGTGTAACCAACGCTGAAAAGCATTTGACTCTATCTCAATCCATTGAGAAGTTGCAGCACTTTGAAATCAATTTTGATGGAAAAAATCAACGCAAAATAGTGATTTTTGGCAATTTTGAGATGTCCCCTCGTTGCCTGAGCATGTTGTTCCAAGGGCAATGGTCCAGTCAACATTTGTGCCAAGTTTGATTAGTGTTGAAGCAGTTTTTATAGTATTATAGCAATTTGAACTTGTAACAGGAGACTTTTCAATGAAAACAGCCATTTTTGACAAAATGCTCATGAAGTAATGGGTTAAGGACTGACTTCACAATATTTATCACAATACTATTACTGTGTGCAGTTAGGGTTATTGTTTGTTATTTTCTGCCATTTTTAGTAATTAACATGGTTTGCAAAGTATTGTTTGCAATGTGTAAATTATTTTCCTTGTTCACTTCATAATATTTTACTTTTTAAAACACAATTTTCAAAGTTTTCATGAAAATTAGCATGCATCTGGAGGCATGCTCCTTTAACAAATATTGAAATATGAACTAGAATATAATGTATGTGCAGCCAGTTTTGTCATTTACTATCAATTAATAAAAAAATCTATCAATTAATAAAAGAATTTAAATATTATAAAAGTGATTATTTTTCTCTCTGATTTACTTTGTGTAATGTATTTTCAATCAGTCTTCATGAAGTGTTAAATGTATGGTACCTCCAGCCAGTGCTCCCAGCCCAAACCTGTATACACTTTCAGCAACTTGAAGGAAGACTGTACGTTCAGCACCAGTTTCTAATCTCAGATCTTCCTGAAATAATAAACACAAACTTTCTTAATCTCCATATATACATTAATGCATTACAATTTTTTGTTTGATTTCCATTATATAAACCAAAGTAAAAATATACATTTTAATAGAAGTTTAAGTCATCTTAAAAGGGGATAATATCTTTCTCTTTTTTTTTTGAGTTAATCAGATTTTAGAATACAACAAGTTTGGTCTCCGGCTTACAGATTTTCTCCTAGAGAAAGCAGAGTTGGCCCCGAAGTTATAAAATCTTAGGATTTTCATTGGTCAGTGCACATTCTAAGTCAGTTTCTGGTCAATCAAATACTAGAGATCTGAAATTGAGCTTGTAAAGTGTCTATAACTTTTGGACTCAGATCATCCACAGTAAAGAAACAAGTTTATATAATTATGTACAATGTGTGTAAACCTATCATTGGCTTATTTCAAATTTTGAGAATCAACCAATTTGTAGAAAATTTGTTTCTTCTAAACTATGCATCTAATCAGATTTGACAGGGTGTTTTAAAAGTGACAACAACAACAACATTACTAAAGGAATGATAAAAGAATTTTTGCAATTTACTTCAATAATTATAGCACTGACTAATTAATGAACCCAATGAGAAATTATTCACAAGATAATATTAATATCACATGTTCAAATAACAAAGTATTTTCTTTATCAAAAACTTAACTTATTTAATTACTGAAGACTTATTTCCAGCATAGTTTCTTATAAATCTGCCTTAATTAATGAACAAGAACTGGTTTCAATACTAGATCTATCTGTTTAATATGGTACATGAATATAATAGATTTTAACAAGTATGTAATATTTACAATACTAATGCCACTTTAACTACAATAATTATATCCTTTTTAACTCTGCTTAAAAGAAAACAACTAACCATTAAGAGATACATGTATGTTCATTAGTTGAAAGCTGTGGTGACTGAATATATGTGTGCAGTTATAACCTTAAAATTTAGGTATTTGCTGGATGAATAGTGTGCACAGTAGATGAAACCCAATCTAAACTATCCTCAAAACTATATATCAATCTAATTATCTTACGAAGATACAAATACTTCTTTTTAATTCATAGTTTGTCAAAGCGACAAAAAGATTACAAATATTAAGGTCTTTTGATGGTTCTCACTAAAGAGGAAGTTCCTGCTAACTTTATTTAAACATGTTGGGAGCCAATCACTTTGTTAGATTTTATGTATCACCAACACAGTAAAGGTCTTATGGTGACTTTCCAGCGTTTACTGGTGGAGGAAGACCTCAGTTACTCCTCTGTATGTTTGTAAGCTAGCTTGATACTTCCTAACATGAAATAGTTAAATTCTCTAACAGATTAGAATCTACAATGGTGAGTAATCACTCAGTCACGAATGCTCCTGGCAGCCAGTCACTGGTATGAACCAAATATCAAGCTAAAGTAAATGATACGAACCATATATTAATCTCAAAATGTAAATCATTTTCTTTTTACCAGGTTCAAACATGCAACATTGAGGGTAAGATACATGGGAGGATCAAGAACCATTGCAATTAAGCCTCTTTGAGCTTATTCTCACTAAATTGTACTAACACCTTGAAATATCTGCTTATCTAACACCAAATTATCATTTAAAACTAGTCTATTTGTTTGGTTTTAAAACTGATTTTAACACCTTTGGTCAGGTCATCTTTGTGGACGATCCACCTAACAGGCTTTCCTGGAAAACTAACCAGTAATTACCAATTATTTTCTGCAACCGACCAACTATCAACCCCACATGATTCTGCCCCAAGGACCATCAATTCAACATCCAAGTTTGTTATGCAGGAATACCATGGCTAGAGGATCAAACTAGCGACCCCTGAATTACAAATCTGATGCTCTCTTTATTTAGCTAAGTGAGCAGATCATTGTGTAAGATATCTATGATATAACTACTGATAATAGAAACTGCCTATATGTATGTGGAACAATTTACCACCTTGGCTATTTGCTGGAAATAAAGGGTAAATGTACATTGTATGTATATTTTAAGCAATAAAAGCACTGACAAGAAACTTGAAAATAAAACTTGACTAGAACTATCACTAAATTTGATTAATACCCCCACAAGTCTGCTTCGGAAATAAGGATGTTACTAGTAACAGAATACCTTGTAAAAGAATTGAAACATAGAGTTATGGTTGTGGGCAATTAAAGATAATTGTGGTTCATGTATGTTGCATTTCCTTTCAATGTGGTTGGCCATTGATGAAGTTTAATTGAATTACTCTGTAATAAGTCCAGAAAGACAAAGAAAAAGAACAAAGGGCAATAACTCTATAAGTACTGAAGAGAGTTATAGTTCTTGTGCACTGCACTTCCTCTTATTGTGCTTGACCATTGTATAAAGTTGTTTTGAATTCCAACCAGTACGTTTTAAGTTATGCTCCGGACAAGGAAAAGTATCAAAGGGCAGTAACTCTGTATTTTGTCAAAATGGAGTTATGGCTCTTGTGCACTGCACTTCCTTTAAATGTCCTTGACAACTGTATGAAGTTGTACTGAATTCCAAACAGTAGTTTTCAAGTTATGCTCTGGACAAGGAAAAGTAACAAAGGGCAATAACTCTGTAATTAGTCAAGATGGAGTTATGGTTCTTGTGCACTGCACTTCCCCTTATTGTGCTTGACCATTGTATGAAGTTGTTTTGAATTCCAACCAGTAGTTTTCAAGTCATGCTCTGGACAAGGAAAAGTAACAAAGGGCAGTAACTCTGTAATTAGTCAAGATAGAGTTATGGTTCTTGTGCACTGCACTTCCTCTCAATGTGCTTGACCATTGTATGTAGTTGTTTTGAATTGTAACCAGTAGTTTTCAAGTTATGCCCCGGACAAGGAAAAGTAACAAAGGGCAATAACTCTGTAATTAGTCAAGATAGAGTTATGGTTCTTGTGCACTGCACTTCCTCTCAATGTGCTTGACCATTGTATGTAGTTATATTGAATTCAACCATTAGTTTTCAAGTTATGGTCCGGACAAAAGAAAGCAATGGAAAAGTAATAAAGGGCAATAACTCTGTAATTACTTTAGATAGAGTTATGGTTCTTATGCACTGCACTTCCTCTCAATGTGCTTGACCATTGTATGTAGTTATATTGAATTCCAACCATTAGTCTTCAAGTTATGCTCCGGACAAAAAAAAGAAGGCAATTGAAAAGCAACAAAGGGCAGTAACTCTGTAATTAGTCAAGATAGAGTTATGGTTCTTGTGCACTGCACTTCCTCTCAATGTGCTTGACCATTGTATGTAGTTATATTGAATTCCAACCATAAGTCTTCAAGTTATGCTCCGGACAAGGAAAATGCAACAGACAAAAAAAAAAAGCAATGGAAAAGCAACAAAGGGCAATAACTCTGTAATTACTTTAGATAGAGTTATGGTTCTTGTGCACTGCACTTCCCCTTATTGTGTTTGACAATTGTATGAAGTTGTTTTGAATTGTAACCAGTAGTTTTCAAGTTATGCCCCGGACAAGGAAAAGTAACAAAGGGCAATAACTCTGTAATTAGTCAAGATAGAGTTATGGTTCTTGTGCACTGCACTTCCTCTCAATGTGCTTGACCATTGTATGTAGTTATATTGAATTCCAACCATTAGTTTTCAAGTTATGCTCCGGACAAGGAAAATGCAACAGACGTCTGGACCGACCGACCGACCGACCACCGGGTGACTCCTATATACCCCCCCTAACTTGGTTTTTTTAGGGGTATAAATATATATATATTTTTTGAGTAAAAATATATTTTTTGAGTAAAATGAAGGTTTTTTTTTACACAACAGGGTTATGACTGCCCTAGGTTGCTCACTCAAGACTATTGTTAGAAAAGGTAAAAAATCTTCATTTCAGAAGTATGTACTTGGGTCATTTTGTACACACAGGGGCATGATTTAAAAAACTTTTACATGGGTCCACTAGGAAAGGAAACATGCTAAAATTTAAGCTCCATAACATGTAGTTTCAGAAAGATGATTCCAAAGACAAAGTAATATGTCATTTCATATATTAATAAATACTAATGTGATACAAGATGAAAATATTTTGGACAGTTTTGACAAAAAGAATTAAATAATTAGCAATTGCTTATTATAAGAGAAATATCAACTGTGTGTAACTGGCCTTTTTCCCCCTATCCCTAGAATCCAAATTATGTTTTTTTTCCCAATCCCAAAAAATTATTCCCAATCTAGAAGCGGGCAATTTGAAAGAAAAAGTACTGCATTTTCAATTTGGGTGTCGCGAAATAGCCTTACGGAATATATTCATGTTTTGTGAATAAAAACAGGATTTTTAATTGATATCAGTTTTACATTTGTACATATGACAGAAAAAGCTGAACAGTTAAAGTAAGATTTATTTCAACAATTGTAACACCTTGAATGCTAGCATATTTTCCTAAATTGGCAAAATTCGCAATTATTTTTTTTCCCCAAATTGGAAAATTTCACAACACAAATTTCCCAAATTTGACATGTGGTCTTTTCACAAAATAGAGGAAAAAAGGCATGTGTAAGCAACAAAGTCATATATCATTATCATTTAAAGTTGAGCATGAAAGCAAATTTGTATTCATCCCAAATCTAACTTTCTTTTGTCATAATATATAGAACACTCAGCCAATATTACAAATTAAAGGAATTCCATTCTATTGAAGATGAAAAAACTAAAAACTAAAATTTGAAATTATTTTATACACAAATTAAGAGGGTAGCTTAAAATGAAAGGGGACAAAATATAGTATGTACTCAGAATTAAATTCAAATTGATTTTTGTGTGATTCTGAGCTTGATTTCAGTTTTAAGCTTTATACATTTTTCATATTTTGGTCATTTTGTACAATTAAAATGATTGTTCTGGAAAAACAAACTTATCAGTTCAGACATACATGGTACATATAAATCTTGATAAATCTTGAAAAATTATTCCCAAGCTATTATTTCAATACCCTTAGTGGAGTTCCTTTAAGCCTTTAGAACATTTCAACCATTGAATTTGAATAGTAAGTAATAAAATACCTCTGCAATTTGAAGCTGTAACGAGAAAGGTGTTTCCCGACCTTCCATTGGAGATAATTCCTCTAGATCTTGGAACATTATCAGTCTGAAATTAGAAAACGTTAACTTGAATCTAAATAATATGTGGTATAAATGTGAATATAAATTAATATAGTGGTAGTGATAGGGAGGTGGTTTTGGTGGGTATTATTTCTTATAAAATTTGTTGATTAAAAGCTTTTACAAATCTCAGTGTCTTAAAATCTAACAAATGAACATTATCTCTAGCCCAATATATGAGTCATGTCATCAAATAATTTTTTTTTCATATTACACATACAATGTCAATCTTGGAACTTATATATCTGGATTCCAATTTCATTCAACACATTTAGGCTAAAAATTTACAACACATTTAGGCCAAAAATTTGCCAATGTCATAGGCCCAAAAAATTGCTATTGAATGTCAATCTTTTACAAACTTACGTATAAAACATATGGAAAAATCTCAATATTGATCTCTATAATGATAAAATTCTTACCCCATCTGTCTCTCTGATTGTCTGAAAAGAAATGTTAAGTTAAATAAATTAAGAGAAAATTATTTTTAGAGAAAACAATTTATTAAATCAAGATATTGTCAATTTATCCAGGTCAAAATGTTTACTTATAATGCCATAAACTTACTGGCTTGCTTAGATTTTAGGTGGTCCAAAAAAGTAATTATATATCACTAAACTGCTTCAAACTTTCCAAAAACTCACAACATTCAATGACAAGACATTGAGAATTGTCTACAAAAATATTAAGGATGTTGCCTTGTGAAAAACTATACAGTAATAGATACAGCGGTTTTAAGTTATAAAACATGTAAATTTGAACATACTGATTTTGGTTAAGAAGCTGTACAAGTTGAAAGAGAATGTCAATCTCCATTGGTGTGATCTGTGGAAACTCTTGTGACTGATACTGTAGCTCCTCTGTAACATTCAACATACATGTAACCATAGAAACTATCTACTGTATAAATCAATATTTTTCTGTGTGTCGAAAAGTTAGCGAATTTCAAATTCCCAACATTTCATGTGAGGAAATATTATAGAATCATGCTAGGGTAGAATTTCATGAATGTTGGTTGATATTTACTCTAGATAAAATTTTAGCAATTATAGTCAATTCGTGAAATTCAGCAATATTTCCATGTCGCTTACTTTAACACTTATACAGTATTCTTTCGAAATAAAATCTTTGAAAAATACAATTTCACTTTTAATGCTTATTTTTCAAACATAACTTACATAGGACATACCTAACAGGAACAATTTTTTTAAATTTTAAACATTTTCAGAAATTTCGATTTCAGGAGGTAATACCATCTATTGAATTTATTGATAAAAGTTATACATCATCATCTATAACATTATCAATTCATGGTTTTGACTGAATTTTCAGAACAAATATATTTTCTTTCAACAATGCAACTTAAATCAACTTGTTAAAAAGTGTAGATATATTATTATAGTCTAGACTTAACAAACCTTTAGTACAAGCCGCATTTCTGTCTCGTTTAGTAGCAGCCATATGAATCTTCTTCATCAGTTCCATGTTATTCAGCAAGGAAATAAAGGCTGTGAAGTAAGCATAGCTAATCTTCTTATGAAAATCTCCCACCGCCACCTGCAATAAACAATATACACACTGTCAATATACACTGCCATAAAATATATCATATTTTAACCCTTAACTTAATGAATTTCTTAAATTGACTTGTTCAACTTGCATTTTCATGATTGTTCATTATAACTGTTCATTACAAATTTTGGGTATATCAAGATGAAAGTTAAAATAAGTTTGCCAAAAGTATAACAAGGTCCTATTGGACTGATATTGCATGGCAATCTTTAACCAACTTACCAAGAACATTTTCCAAAGTTCTCAAAGGCAATATTTCTATCAAAATACATGATAAGAGTGTAATTGGCTTTGAATAGTGAGCTCCAACCATTATCAGAAATATACATGTATGTCTTAAGTTTAAAGTGAAAACTGTCAAGTTATTTTGAAGAAGATGTTGCATGCAAAACTTTCATTATTTTCTACGTACAATGTATTTCATTTCCTTGTTTCAAACTTTGCAGAACACTAAATTTTAGATCAAAGTTTTTTTTTAAAGTGAATACATTTAAAAACAACTTATTTTCAAAGCCATGCAATAAAAGGCTCACAAAAAGCTTAAAACATATAAAGTTTAAATTTGATTGTCATTTTATTTCTACAGCAACAAATAAGGCATGTAAACTATCATGTATATATGTTTCAATAAATAACCCAAAGTAATCCACAGAAAAAACAAAGTTGAAACTATTCCTACATAATTATTTAGCCTCTAAATAGGACATACAAAATTTCAGTCATGAAAATTTAATGTCATCTGCATTTTTTCATGCTTGACTGGGCACCCAAGAAGAACCCCCAATGTCCAGTCAGCTAGCTGAATACTGTCCAAATCATAAGTCCCAAGGGGGATTTGAACCCACAGCAGTGACAGACAAATTGTATGAAGTTAACGACCTTAACCAAACGGTCATAGATGCCCCTGCAAGTACCTTACATATAAACATCATAAACTAAAATATTTGTTTGAACTGTCTAAAAAAAATATCAACAATAGCTGTCACCCAAGTGACGAATGCCCCCCAAAAAGGTTTCTTAGGCATGCAGGTATTATGAAAAAAAAAGAGAATGAAAGTAATTTATTGCTTAATATTGTTTTTTGTATAACTGTACCTGTAATCTCTGTGATAGCGTGAACCTTCAAAATAAAACTGTGACCTTGACCTTTGAAGAAGGGATGTGGTTCCTGGATGCAACAGAATGTTGTTATGAGATAGACATTTGTGCCAAGTTATTTCAAAATCCATCAATGTATGACAAAGTAACAGGCCGGACACAAATGAAGTGGGACAGACAGACGGTGAGATTATATTTTGCCTCCCTTTGGGGGCATGATTAGCACAAACAGACTCGTAAACAAATTTCCATTTTTCTAAGGCACAGAGATATTTGGATATACAAAGTAATTATAGAGGAAAATTAATTCAGCAATACTAGCACAGCTCTATTTCTAATAATTATTATATACTATAAGTGTTCTTTTTAGATACAAAATTTTAGTTGGAAAAAGAATGTGAACAAAAACTGATTTGGATAAATTAGGTTTATACAAGAAGAATGATTTCATTTAACCAAAGCTATAGGATATATCCAGTTGATATATTGTTTAAGATAGTAGGATTCTGTACTGCAATTACTTATTAAATTGTGTTTTTCCTCTAATTATATTCAAAGATGATGATGCCCCCCCCCCACATAATATTTGCAATATTACAAAAATAATTCTCAGTAAACCTTATTTATTCAGTATGATATCATAAACATTAAGAATATACCATAGTGAGAAGTAAATCATAGATCATGCATAAATACTTGTAAAGTGAAGGATATATAACTTATTTCATATACATATATATTATTACATTTGTGCATAATATTATAAATGTGAAGTTTCAAAGCATCCAAAAATATTGACAGCAGTCCTTAATTTATAAAGATGATTTAAGTTACATATGCATTTTCAATGCCAATGGTAAATTTTCCTTAGGTAACTAACAAGAACTGTCATGTTTTCTATTCCCAGTGCTTGATAGTAAAACAAAGAGCCTGGATAATGTAGAATTTTCCAAGTTAAAAAAGGCCTTAATTCTGTCAAAATGTATGTTACCTGGACCCTAAGATTACAAAGTGGTTCATGTATCTTGAAGTTTCATTTCACAGGGGCATTTTTATATATTTATGCATATTTCATAATAAGTTTCAGAAACTTGACTGTGAAAAAAATTTAGTCAATGACCTGATAGTTTACTCAATGTAGAGTGTATAGAATAAACTGATAACATACAATTTCAACTGAACCTGGAATCTTCAAAAATTGTTTAAATTTCATTACAAAGAAACATTAAATGAAGAAAAAATAATTGTAAATTTTTTACAAATCATAATTCAGTCTAGATAATCAATTATAGCAAGGTAGAAACAGAATGCACATGAATGCTGTATAGAATCAGAAATAAATGTTGCCAAAGATATAATCTACATTAAAGATGTGAACTGTATAATTATATTATATAAGTATGAAAGTGATAGACTGCTTTCAGGCACCCGGTTTATCTGACCCATTAATTGGATTAGAACTGAAAGCTACAAATGTTAATACATTTATATACATGTATGTAAGTGTATCCCTTTACACAGATGCAACACTTTCAATTAATAATGTGAAAAAAAATCCTTCATTTTCATTAATTAAAAGGTATAATTTTCTGTTTTAAAAAAATCTTCTGCAGCCATTTCTTCAAAACATATATAAAAAGGCAAGTTATAAAATTATTTTTGATAAAATAAAAATTCCATTGATAGTTTGACTAAAATACCTTTTATTTAAATAAGTAGATATGACATAAATACATAGACTCAAGTTTCTGTATGACTAGAACTATTCGTTCTAAAATTACAACAAACAAGGACAGGATTTGTTTTAAACATAAAAGTGTTTTTTTTTACAAGAACATATCAGAATTATACCACTAAAATTTACTTAAAGAAAACATTTTAGACAGTTCCCAAACTTCAAACAAGGTTAACAATTAGGCTTACATAAGCTGTCACTACGGTTTAGAAAAATAGGCAAGTATATACATTTGTATACCACATTAGGTGCGAAAAAAATCTGCGAAACTAATAATGCGTAGAAAGAATATACATATAGTTAAGAATTGCCATGAAACATACCGTTACACACATCTGAATTTATGAAAAAGAAGAAAAAATATACAAAAATTTATTAAATTAAACTAAAACGTTTTTATATAAATAAAATAAAACAAGAATTAAAATTAGATTTGTTTGCCTATATATTAAATTATCTAGCATACAAGGTGAGAATCGGAAAAAATGTGAAGATAAAAATACAAAGTTATAAGAAGGTAAAATTAATGAATTTTCCATGATGAAGTAACAATATGTATAAAAGTGTGTTATGAACAATTTATATATATTATAAAGGTTAAGCTAATTTTTCTAAAAAATATGGGAAAGTAGAAGCACCTTGGATAGAATATAAAATACAGTATACAGTATACAACTAAAGGGGGAAATATATTTACCAAAGCTTGTTCACTACAAAATCATTTCATGTCAATCTTATAGTTGTCAATTAGAAATAATAATGGACATTATTAAATTTCTTATAATGTATAAATCTGCACATACATTGTAAATGGCTCTTCCTTTGCCTTTTTCAACTTCAACTTTTATAATAATACAACCCTCATGAAATCAAAATAAAAATTTAATTGAACCCAATTGAATCATTTTAATGAAAACATATCGGCTTACAAAATATTTAAAAACATTGTATTTTGACAACTAGCCTTTCATATGACATCCAATATAGAAATTTTGTGCCTATTTTAAAAACTTGCATTTGCTTTCACCACAGTAACATTATTTTACAGTTTAAAACACATAGAACAACTATACCAATTACTGTAAAGAATTGGTACCAAATGGCATTGAATTAGATTTCAGATCACTTCTCCTTTGTCCTACTAGTATAGTAAATTTTAGTTTTCAACCATGGGGTAGAGACGTAAAGTACTAAACTCATTAATAGACCAATCTGTTATTTGTTTAGATTTAAAGTCACACTGACACATAACTGCAGATAGGTTCATGGTCTATTGTGGGATTCAAACCTACGGCTGTGTGAACCAAGTGATTCAAAGTCATCAATCTAGTGGGACATAAATCTCAAAAAATAATTTCCAGACCCATAATGTCAAAAACCTTAGTGGAGTCCCTTCAATGAACATGCTTGAACAACTGATCAGATATGGATATGTGCAGAAATTCAAACCTTGCTTTCGTCTTTAACTACATATTGCAGTTTATATCAAATACAATAACCAAACAGGTTTGTTTGTTTGATTTGGTTTTACGTCACACCGACACAGTATAAGTCATTTGGCGATGTTCCAGCTTTACTGGTGGCAGAAGACCTCAGGTGCCCTTCCATGCATTATTTCAGGCACTAACGGGCACCTGAGTAGAACCTACAACATTCCGTAAGCTAGCTGGATATCTTCCTCACATGAAACAATCCAAAGTCCCTGTCGGGATTCGAACCCACAGTGGTGAGGGGCAAAAACAGTTAGGTAGTGGTCATATTCAGGAAACAGAGAGTGAATTTTATTTACTAGTTAAAGCACTGCTTTGTTAGAGCTTCATATCATATGTATTTCCTAGCAAACTAATGTATGGACTGTCTTTACAGAACATGTATCTACAAACTGTCCTAACTAAAGCTATCACTAACAGAGATACATTGAAAAATTTGTGGTCTAAACTAAGTTTTGAACTTGACCAATATTTTGTGATGTTGTGTATCAAAACTAAAGTTAAATAGTCATTATCCTGAAACCAATTCTTTCTTTTTTTTAAAAATAACTATGTAAAAAAGAATTTTGTGGTCTAAAGCCGAGATTTATCTCAACCTCTATAAGGCGTGATCATGTAAATTTATGTATGAAAAATAAAAAAATCATCATAATATATTGTCTCATTAAAAAGTAATTATTGATAATTGTTGGGTTTTTTTTCTTGTAAAAAAATGTAGAAAATTACTATATAAAAAGAACAAGTGGCCCGACGCCAAACTTGAAATTGAATAACCTTATTCAACTTAAAAAAAATTCAAAATGAAAAAAAGTCATGACACAACTTTAATTGAGATTATTATGCAAGTGCTGAGGATTATATTGTAAGCAAGTTTTCTGTAATCTCTTATTTCCTATTCTATTTCAGAAATTGTTTTGGTTTTCACTTAAGCATTCCTCAAATTATCAAAAAATTAACATATCATAATTCAAACAAAAAGAAAATATCTAACTTTTTACCTTTTCAAAGACAAAAATATACAAACATGTATATAGAACAACTAATAAACAGTCAGAAAATCTGTCTTTCTACATGAATACGGTACCATTGGCTAATTTCATCTTCCTACAAGTGATTTGGCAAAACAGATCTTTTTTGTCCAAAACAGCCTTTACTATCACCTTCCATTTCATAGCCTGAAATTTCTCAACACCTGAACAAACAGTGAAGCTGGTACAAGTCTTCAGTGCCATTTCTATCCAAAATATCAATCACAGTACCAAAGAACTCTCCAGACATAGTACTTTTTTTCCTTTTAAAATTTCATGTTAAAATATACTTACAGCAACAAGGTTATCCTGTACAAATGGTGTGAGCAGGTAACTTTTCAGGGCAATCATAATTTCCTCGAAATCTTTTGCGTTTATATAGCCATTGTTATCAAGATCAAATTTTCTAAAAGCTTGTAGAGCATGTTCTTCATTAAAATCCTGAAAATAGTATATAGAAAACTGTAAACAAAAACAAGCTCCATCATAACCTTCTGTTTCCTGTTTTACAGCTTGATGGATGCAAATTCAAAATGTCTGAAAAACTCAAAACCATGTCCGAGTTAAGCATTATTTCAACTTGTTTTATGTTGCAAAAGAGTGCTTTCAACAGCATAAAAAAACCTGACCTTCAGGCAAATGCCTGAAAACTTGTACAAATGTACTGAGGTACCCAACAACTTTCTTTTAAATTATTTTTCTCTAGTAAATGGTAAGTACCTTGACCATGTGGCCCTGGCTAAACAGAACCATAAACTATTATATACATTTTGTTTATGAAATGTAATATTCCAAATTTTAAAGTCTGTAGATGAATGTTAATTAGTATAAACTAAATATTGGGGCAATATTTAAAGTCAGCAAACAGAATAAAAGATTTCATTTTTTTTTAATCAAAAGAATATGAAGCTATGCCTCCTTAGTCCCCTTAATTAAGTCAATCAAGACTTTTAATCTAAATTTAAACATCTTGCAAAATGAACCATTTTCAAGTATCCAGACAGTATTCTTGTATGACAGAATTAAGAACAATTCATGATGTTTTATCAGTTACAACATGTATTCAAACATTGGGTGGACAATAATTGAGTAAGTCCAGATAGCTGAGAATAACAGTCAGAATAAAAATCTGTTTAACTTACATGTATGACTTGAGTAAATTCTGCGTAAGAAATGCGTCTTGATTTATCTTCACCAAAGTGCAGCTGTATGAAGTCACAATCAAAATTGAACGGTATAGTTTTGTGTAGAGTTGTGTGTTGGACAATATCTTCAAACTCCCCTTTAAAAAAATAATGGTTAAATTGGCATATCTACACTGTTTAATAACTAGAGCTGGATTAAAATAACATTTTAGATTTGAAATATGATAAATGATTTATTAACTCCATCACTGGTAAATGATGAACTGACTTTCTTTTACCCTCTTTGAACTTTTAAATGTGCATATTTTTTATAAAGAGGGCTAAATATCAAAAGGCAAATACTCTCGGGTATCAGTGTAAAGTCTCGAGCAACTTCACTGACTCGCAAGCTGAGTCAACTCTATACTGGCTGTTTATGCCAATATAACTACTGCTGTCACTTTTCAGTGTGTCAAGAAAAAGGTCACTTACTGAAGTTCAAGAAACCACTTCCATTTCGATCATAGATCTGAAAGGCCAGTCTGTACATAGAATCTGGTAGGGACAACAAATGTTCAAATGCCTGAAACTCTGTAAATGAGATTTTCCTGCAACAATAAAATATTAATGAAATGTGCAATGAAACAGTTCTTAACTAAAAATTCAGTTTTTCTTGATCTTCTGACTAATTCTGACCATAAACAGAATAAGATCTGTCAGTTAAACAGCCCTCTTGACTAATATCAATGCTTGATTGTAAAACAAGAGAAAAATAATGTAGGGATTTATAAAATAGGAAATTTTCATTAAAAAAACGTTAACATATTAAAAAGTCAATTGTAGTGACCCTGAAACTTTGGATGTTCACAAAGACCATATTTCAGTCAAAATCCTCGGATAATGTCCTATAATTATTGTTTCAAGAAACTGCATAATGATATATTGACATCACATTTCACAACATAGAAATCAAAGTACAACACGTCAACACCTGTGCTGGTTTAGGTTATTTATTTTCTACCAGTTTCGGTTCCATCGAACCTTCATCAAAAGAGAAGCTTAACAGTTAACATGTGACAGTTAAGTGCCAATGATGACACACATTATATGGTATCAATAGTCAGACCAGTCTGTAAATTTTCTTGGCTTCCCATAAATTTTTTGTTATTTTGATACTGAAATTCCTTAAACTGCAAAATGTGAGTTCCAAATTTCAACATATATATATGCTCAGAACAATGTCAGCATAGTAAACTTAGTAAACCAACGGGTTGAAATCTTTTTTAACAAAATTATCTTACCCATCACGACTTGTATCGATACTGCTACCAAACAGTTGCAATGTGTATTCGTTGAAATCCTCGGTATCCAACAGTTGGAGATATCTCTGTATAAAGTCTGCATAGGTCATAAACTGCTCATCTCCCTCTGTCACACTGGCATACTAACATAAAGAAAATAAAACACATGTGATAATGTCACTCAAATATTTACCACCTATTTATGAAGAAAACAACATATGCAAGTGAAGTTCTACCTCGAGAGATAAAAAACAGTATCAGGTCAGGAATTGACACTTAACTTTTCAGTCATTAAAATTTCTCAAATGAGAGAAAATCTCTCACTAAAAATCCTGACCAGAATGATCCCTGATAAGGGTAACTCAACAAGTCCATTAAAGAATATTGTTCAAATTATAGCAAGCAAAGCACAAATTAGAAAGCAAGTAAATAAGAATTTGTATACAAATACCTTTGAAAAAATATTTTTCAAGTGCTCCTGGTCTGCACGCATCAACCCTTCCTGTAATAACATAAGAATCCATTCATATATGTAATAAACAATATAAAAAGAAACAGAAAGCATTGAAAAATTAATTACTTTGGCAAAGCACTTGTATTTCTTTCAAGTTAGAAAATCTTGATCTCCATCTAGGTTTTGTCACATCAGCCTAGGCTGTAGAAATGCAGTTCTGATATACTGTATTAAGTGCCAGACAAAATATTTTGTTGTCATTTGAGTAAATATTTGCAATTTATTATTATGTAATGCTTTGATTTAAAATGTCAGCGCTCGGTTCAGGTTGTAAAAGGTATAATTTTGTGTTGTCTGTTGTGTATAGAAATTGCTAAACCATTGTGTTGAAATTGAATTTTCCTTGCATGTAATTAGATAAAATTTTAATCGGATGTGCAGAAAGCGTTGCATTCCTTGTGTTTATTTATTGTATCGTGGACCATCAACCGGACACTTTTTTAACATTTTTCCGTACAGATTTAATAATTTTTAACCTAGGGACCTAAAAATTTGACACAGTTCAGCTAGGTTCTTCTCTTAACTAACAAACTAGTTTGTCTATTTCTAATTGTATTGACACTTATATCTGAGGCTCGACAAGTAGGGTATAAAAATAACCTAAATTGTCTACACTACAGTACCATGTGTCCCGACAGATATGTACATAATGTGATTTCATTCAGATAAAAGCTTGTGTGTTTTAATTTATTATTTAACATCTTATACAATATTTCAGCAACAAATGCTGAAGTTTTGGATGTTTTATTGTTTACTCTGCAAATGATTATAGCTGGTATATGAGGTCAGGCATTGCTTTCTTGACCCCCAAATTTCTAGATTAACATTCTTGAAATAGCCATTAAAATATTACCATTTACGGAGGTTGAAATAAAATTTATTTACTTAATTTTAGAAGAAACATGCATTTACTGTTGATAAAAAAAAGTGACTGACAACCACTGACCAAAGAAAATACTAAATTAAGCATTATTGGGGCCGTCCGGGCTTGGTGGCTGTCCGGTTTTGGTGGTCCCCAACCAGTAGTGAGTGTGGGGGTAGTCCAATATAATAGACGTTACAGGCTTATAGTTATGTTGGTCAAATAGAGAAAATAAGAATCCCTAAAGAAAGTCCAACACGGCAAAATTGAAAATGTTGCAGACTTGGTTTGATTGAGCCTGTTCATGGACGGTACTGTCAAGTGCAAAGTACCGTCCAGGCCCCTAGCTCCGGCTTAAGCGGAATTCAACATTTAAACATGACATTTGAAATTTTTAATTCAGAAACATCCGCAGATGTGTTTTTTGCCCAGAAGCAAAAATATCTCAAAGCGACGTCATATTTATAAGACTACAGTAGTGTGGGGGTACTGGCATGCCAGCAGTTCCCGTACAAAAATCGTAGTTACTTAATCATTATTTTTTATTACGCTCACTCACCAAAATTTGAATGTTACACATCAATATTCGGCTCGTCACACAAATCATGGAAATTCCATCATGTTCTAAACATAGAATAACCCTTAGTTATGAGGCCTCATATGGGGTACCGAAATTATCCATTATTTTGTATGAAGAGAAGTAGTTCCCGTGCATAAAATTTAACCCATCATAATTATACAATTTTATTATATCGGACCTATTTTTCATTTATAATTGTTGAACAGACCATTTTCTAAGAGATAAATAGATGTAATTCAGAAAATAGAAAGTAGACTAAACGCGTGTATCTATTACCCGGTACCGTTACCCCCAACGCATTCACATGCGACGGCATGCTTGTATGCATGATATTTTACGCATCAAAGCCATAAAATTATTTTATATAGTAATATTGGTCGAAATTCTGATAATTAAACAAGTTTTCATCACATTGCCTTCTTATCTGTAAACATGTGGTATTAGTGGAAAACCCTTAACATGCCTCACGTGTAAGTATGTTTGCGCATGCGCGCAAAGACGGAATTCCCCCAGATAAAACAAGGTCACGTTTCGACAACGCACAGGTGAAAGTTATTTAAAATGAGACTTTTTATACGTACTGCCGAACTGACACTTAGATTTTGTCTCGTTTATGTATCTGCTTGATTTGAAATGAATTTTTGAAGAATGCATGTAAAAATCAAGCGTTTAAATGAAAAATACGGGTACTGCTTCTGTACGGGAACTGCTCGCATGCCAGTATATTTGCCATTATTTCTTAATTATTTGATTGTTTTTTTCAATTAGACTAGTGAAGTCTTGTGTGCTTAGAATTTCGAGCTTACTGTAGTTGATACCATCTTGTTCATCATTATGACTATAAACTTAGATATCATTATGATCTCAAACTTAAATTCATATCATTATATTCGCTTCATTTGAAACAAAACACTTTCTGAAACAACTTTAATGCACGAAACACATAAAACTGTTCACCTTGTGGGATTCGCATTCGACCTTTGAAGCAAACGGCCATTTTGCAGTGAAACTAGCGAGGTACTTTTCCTGAAATTGAAAACAACATTTCTCCTTTCATTGATGAACATAATTTTACTCAAATTCAATGAAATAGGACGACAGTTACGAAGAAATTATCAATAAAGTTGTAACATTGCAAAACAAACCCTTATGGAGGCCGCCATTTTCCTTATCATGCACTACGATGCATTTGATTGGTTCATATTAGGTGTGAAGGTCATTTACGCCATGATAAACACCAAAATGAAAGTAGATCAAAATGTTAAGAATCTGCAAATGAATTGCTAATAAGTTTTAAACTCTAGAATAGACTAATTAATGTCCAAAGTGAACTTTAACAACTTTGACACATACAGTAGAGTTTGACATTATTTAAAGGTGAATGAAAACGTTTAATTTGGTCAATATCACCGTGTTAACATACATACATATCCCCGAAACGTAGGCCTGCACGTGAAAATGGTAATCACTATAAATTATAGTATAAATATAAAATGACTTAAACGTCGTTATGTAGCATACATACTAAGCCCTACTGGTGCTGCGGAAGTTTGCAGGGGTTGAGGGAAAGGGATTTAACCATCGTAGGCTAGACCTTAATCGCAAGGTCGCAAGGTGGCCGCAACGTCGCAGATCGTGCACATTATTTCTGCGACTTTAATTACATGACGTACATATTTTGGACGTCTAAATTAAGACTGTCGTTACAGTAGACAACGACACACTCAACTTCTCAAGTAAAAATGTTTTACATTTGTCTTGCAACGACTGCAGGGTTGCCGCACGAGCACGTGCGGCAACTGTGGGTCATAATCAAATGTTGTCACATATGACAGATCTACAAACGATCTCAAGTCTGTCTATAGATAGACTGCGAAGTTGCTTGCGACAGATTTTTCTACACATCGTGCGAACCAAATTTCGTGCGGTTGATGTGATAAAGGCTTAATTCAAATGGACGTCACCTGACTCACATAGACATATATGTTATAACCTGTTGTTTTCTGTGCTAAAATATATGTGTACATCTATGATTAAAGTTCATCTAAGTCGTAATCATCAGCTGTTTTAAACACGTGTGTCCAAGTCATTTGTATGACGGGCCGTCACACCATGACGTTCTGGTTAGCGTTCTGTGACGTTTTAAGATACGTTGGTAATCGCTAATGGTTGCTGGGATAGCGCCAGAGGAACGTTGTGTGATCGCCAGTGAACACCAGTAATCGCCGGGAATCGGCGTAGAACGCTGGTCCGGAAAAAAGTTTTGAACATGCACAAAAGTTCTCACTAAGACCAGCGTTCTTAAACGTTTTCATGGTTTTAATCTCAAACGCTGAAGAACTTTTAAGAACGTTCATGGAACGTTTGATTAACTTTCGCCGAGCGTTGCACACGTTCTGCTATCGTTAGTCAGTCGTTACTCAGTCGCCACTTAGTTGTTACTAATCGTTTGCTTTGCAGTGAACGACTCACTGGCGACCTTTCAACGACCGCTGAACGGTCTTCAAGCGCACAAAACGTGTGACTAAAGGTAAACGAACGCCCTTTTGGCGTCAATTGAGCGTCATTTTCAAGAGCGTCACTCGAACGTCTATGCATATGTAAAAAGCAAGGTTCATTTGATTTTGGGTTATCGTAGAGAACACCTACTATGGAAGATCCTGAAAGATCGAGTAGGCTTAGATGTTTGCTCAAGCCAAGCTTCAAGTAGATGTACTGAACTTAAACATATCTGAACATATTGAGGGAATTCATCCGCGAAAAGAGCCCGACACTCATCCATAGAGAAGAAGACCCCGAAGAAGACGACAGTGTTGGACGAAATCATGAATATAAAGACGTCAAGGATTTGGAAATACAAAATGTAGCTAGTAGGAGCCTTCACCCACATTTTTTTTTGTTGGCGTCATGATGCTGACAATTTAAACTCACAAGAGCAACTAAAATCACTATGAAATTTCCAGCGTTCTGTGCCGTTTAAGCCGTAAAAATAACACGCCACCAAGACGCTATTCTACCGTTATTCACGCGTTACTCACACGCTCACAACGCTCGTCAGGCGTTGACAAATAGTTCGTCCCGCGCCAGTTGCACGTTAGCACACGCTTATGGGTTCCAGACTAATCTTACTTGGTCGCTATTACACGCTTCTCGTGCGTTAAACACACGCTAGTTATGCGTTAGACGCACGTTAATCACGCGCTAGATGCGTCAACGTCATTCAAGAACGTTCAAAAATTGAATGATTGAAAAGTTCAGAAAGTGTTGACCAGAACGTCCTGTTGTGACGGACCCTTTAGTTAGATATCGACCTTCGTACATCTTTCTGTTAAGAAAAGACCTGGAAATAACTGGAGCGCTCTCCCTTGAAATTCGTGACCACATCTTTGCTAAATAGTAAATACTCGGTCGATATCCTATACATATTGTCTAGCAAATGGTTTAAAAAAAAAGTAAACAAAACAAACAAAAAATAAAAATGCGCTTTGCAGCATGAAAAGACGATTATAAAGGAATGCCAAAACCCCTTTATCCAGTCACATTCTGAACATATTTTTGAATAATTTGTAATTTGGCCGACAAGAAGAGCACTGGCATGTGTATGCATAATGAGTATATCAAATTTGTTTGTTGGTTGGATGTTGGTTGGTTTTACGGCGCACCAACACAATTAAGTCATACGGCGCCGAAACAGGAAATGGTTTTTTGGCTATTTACTTAAACTCGGGTGTTACAAACTTTAAAGCAAAACCATGGGTCAAAACCACCTCACTTAGTTACTAGTTCTCATGCATGTATACTTAAATGTTTATCTCTTTTAAATATGAAAAGATTAGATAAATATTACTAAAACTTATTGCATTTATTAGAGGCGTGTTGCGTTGTTTTTGACATTGAGGACAGGTATCTTGTTGTACATGTGATGGGAAAGGTATGTGAGGGTGTGACACAATGAGAAAAGTCTTAAATCCGAGGTTGAAATGATGTTATTTCCCCGACTTTCCAATGATTTATGGTAAGAGTTACGGTTTTAAAATTTTCAAACTAATCTCATCAACTGTATATATGCACACGTGCGTGTTGTATTTTTACGCAGGGTAAGCAGTTTTTGGCTTCAGAGCTGCAGCCTCACTTCTACCAAAGTTCGAGCTCAGCCCAAAGATACATATAGGCCAGCATATTTTTGAAGCCATTCTATGCTTTTATGGACCATAGTTAAACATTTATTGCTGTCACCCGGTTGTTAATAAATATCGTGCCTGGAGGGATTGACAGAGATCTTTATCCATAACATGCTTGAATTATTTTCCAATCTTTTAATGGCGGTGAAAAAAGAGCTAAAATACAGATTTCCAAGCTAAGTCTATGATGTGTAATTTGATCATTGGTGGGATCAAAGGATGAAACAGCCGAACAGACACTTGGAAATGTCAAAAAATACTTCCAGGACGATTTGAAGATCCCCGAGGAAAGTTTGGCAACACTAGAAATAGAGAGTGCTAGACGAATTGGCGTTCGAAGACAAAGTAAGCCAAAAATGTATTAGTTACTTTCAACAACCTTAAGACAAAAAACTACGTAAAATCATTCAAAGATAATGTCAATCCTAGAGAATCTGGACTATTCATGCATGATCAATATCCCCCGGAAGTTGTTTCACAAAGGAAATTACTTGTTCCAATTATGAAAAGGGCTCGAGAGGCAAAAAGGGAAGCATATATCAAATATAACAAACTTATCGTGGATGGTAAAGTGTATACAGATGGTCCGTATGGGACGGTACCGTACAAGAAGGTGTAGTTTCAATTGCCGTATGGAATTGTAATGGCTTATCTAAAGAGAAACAGGAGGATGAAGATTTCTGTAATATAGTATCTAAATATGATATTATTTTTCTTCTAGAACCATGGACATCTAAAGATAGTAATACAAAATTGAAAGGATATGCATCGCACAACTTCTATCGCAAATTTCAACACAGAAAAGCACGTCGAAATAGTGGTGGTATTATGTTGTTTTACAGAGACTATATAGCGAAAGGAATTTCAATTATTAGAAATCACTTTGGATAAAGCTGGATAAATCATTGTTTATGTTAGATAAAGACATATATCTATGTGCCACTTATATATGGGGACAAGATTCGCCTGCTTATAATGTATGAACATGCAATATTTGTAAATCTAGAGACATTGAGGATGAATTCAATATGATTTGTGTGTGTCCCTGCTACATACTTTACATTGATAAATATTATTATGAAATACCATCTATGTTTAAACTTACCCAGAAATGAAAAAATGTTGAATTATTTAGTTTCCTAAATTGTGCATTAATAATTAGGCATAATCTATTACAATAAATAATTAATAAATATATAATAAATAAATAAATGCTCAATTTATTGTCATGTACGTTAAGAATTTCATGTTAAATGGTACTGATATATATTCTATACCTTCTTTTGTCATGTTTACCACAGATATTGTCATTTTCAATATTGTATTATATCATTATATTGTTTGACGTTGACATAATAATGTATAATTATGTTATGGATGAGGAGTGAAATGCTCAAATCTAAAATAAAATTCATTTTCTGTTCTGTTCTGTACGAAATTAATGCAGCAAGCTGATTTTTTTCTTCTGAGTAGCAGTAAATATTGAACTTTATAAGCAATTAAAAAAAAGTGGAGGATTTTATTAAAAGATTTGGGTTTAAATAACTGGTTTTTTGTTGTTGTTTGTTTTTACTTAGAACACGCTCTTCTTTTATTCATTTTCAAAGTATCTTCTTTATGCATCTACAACATGTCATTCTATGTCATTCTGTTAAATATTACCAAAGATTGGCAGGGCCTGATTGCCCTCACTTGTTATCATTAGCATTTAAAGAAAGTTGTCAGTTGCATGATCATGGTAAAACTAGTTGGATGTCAAGTATTTACTTTGTTAAAGATCATATGAATATAAACAACTTTTGCTCATATAATAAAAACATTCATCATATTGTCAAGTCCAAAGCCATTAATAGTTTTAAATCAAATTGGTTAAACAGAATGACTGTTTGTGGCGAACAACAAATCGGTAAATTACGTACATATGCCTTATTTAAGACTGTTTTTGTAAGTGAACAATATCTTAGTGTTTTAGGGGACAGTAATTTAAGATCATGCTATACAAAATTTAGAAT